CAAAATTTAAAAGATTAATGGAAAAATAATCAGAAATCTATTCATATAGAAATAAACATAAACATTACCTTATTGTAATTATATAATAAGCAATTAGAACAAATCTCGAAACTTCTGAATAAAGTTATCAACTAATTTCTGTAGTCAGATACCAGAATGAAAAAGATAATCATGAGGAATGTGAGGAATGAAGACATTGAAAGAAATTCTTTCATTGTGGAATAGATTAAGATATTTAGGTGAGAAAGCAATAATGCACAATCGATTCTATTATTTATTAATTTATAAATAAACACTAAATCAAAATAAACACGACGAGATTCTAATAAATATTGCGAGATGTAAGACCTAGCAGCAATGATGCAAAAAAAAATGATTTACTGTTAATGAAATATGTAATGATAAAGAAATAATGGTTTGGAAGGGGTCCCCTAAGTCTTTATAATTATAATTATAATATAATTATAATTTGCATTTAAAACAATATTACTATTAGTATTATAAGAGGACCAGAATATTTTTAGAACCTTGGTAGAAGACATTACATAGATTTTTGAAGTGTTTAATCAAACAATTTTTATGAAACCAAATTATTCCTGAGAGAGGCTTGTATGAGAATTACGTCCCGAGCATTCGAAATTACACTAATAAATTACTTGTTCATTCCAATAAATCAACCTAAACACAAAGATAAAATTCTGGTCCCAGTCATTCCACGAGAGTATTGGATAATTCTCGGGGCGTGGGGGAACCTATTTCATTCGCGCTAATAAATTACTTTCACTCTTCAGAGCCACACAATCACCCCAGAGTATTGATATTCTTCGGAGCTGGTATAAACGGATTGTCAAAATTTACGCTTACAAATTATTTTTGCATTCCAATAAATCAACCTAAACACAAAATCCGATACAAAGATAAAAGTTTGGACATATTGAATCCACGATGGTACTCGATATTCCTCGAAGCGTGGTCGAACCTACTCCATTCGCGCTATTAAATTACTTTCATCTCCAGACGCCACACACTCATCCCAAAGTACTCGATATTCCTCGGGATAGAAGAAACCAAATATCCCGTATGGGTGAATTTTATATAAAAGAATAGAAAAAAAGGTATATCTATTAAACACAAACAACGGACAATGTGAACACTCTTTACAATTTATTTTTCTTTTTTAAATAATGGTTACATAAAGTTTATTTATTTCTGAGTAGTGAAATATTATATGCATTATATTCAAATTGTTAACTTATTCTTGTTGAGTTTGAAGCTTAATCAATATGCATGTTTTTGTACTATGTACAAAAGCGTAGCTGTCTAATTGATTAATTCTTCCTAGGATATTGTCAAACCCCGTTTCAAAAGCTTTTTACCTTTATTTCTTATCCGTCCGAAATTAATTTGCTGTACATTTCGTATGGAATCAATTTTCGGGCATTCCATCCGATAATTTAACGACCCGTCGATAAACCGTCAACCCGTCGTGTAAATAACGTTCCATCTTTTCAATTTACAATAGTATTTATATTAAAGGTGAAAAATAATAAGTGAAGCTTCTAGAAGAATAAATAGATTAAGGTTTAAGATTTCCCAATCGTTTTTGTATCCGACGAAATGTTAAACCCGAAATGAGATTGTGTGGTTTATTGCCACTTCGATTCTCGATTACGGCTGACCCAATGCGGTTTGAATCCATTATTATGGAACATATTTTACTTAATTTATTATATTCCATCTGCCTCAATTCTTTACAAAACGTACTCTTTCGTAGTTTTTCCCTCCAGTACATCCTGGAGAAAGGGAGTTTATTCTGCATGTACGTTAAAATTAATACATACATGTAACGAATTTACAGGTACTAATATCATTAATTATTATTAGCTTTTTACATAATATTTCAATAAACAAATAAACAAAATATGATTGCTTTTATTAAGTTACATGTTTAAAATTAATTGTTGTCACTTAATTAAATTTCAATATTTTATTTAATTAACAATTTTTTAACTAATATTTTAATTAGATCAGTCTTTTCGGCTGGCCAACTTTCACCGTTTAAAAAAACTCCTTTTATTAAGATACTCCTTGGTTCTTCGAACATTGGACAAACATGACGTGGTACCTAGTTTGATCTACTTGTAGACCATTTGAACATGTTGGATCATAGGTGATATTAAATGTATGTAGGATTTTACCTTGTCATGTCCGCTCAGAAACTGGGTCATTTTATGTAGCTTGGTTGGAGGTCGGCAATGAAGCGAAATTCAATGTTTGAAAAAACGCTTTCCTTGCTGCTCCTGTTGTGCTATTTTTCCATTTAAACTCCCAAGCTTTTATTTCTCGCTGCTTTTATTGCATAACTTTTGAGGACTTTACTGATTACAGCCATCAGATCGCAGATTTTTTTCCCAATCGGTCCGCTTTTCTTTTGTTCCGACGTGTGACTTCACCCATCTCAGGATTTAGCCTCCATCCTCTTCCTTTCGTCGGTGAAATATGGAAATTGGTGTGAATACTTCCTCGATCTAAACTGAAAATTCTCTATCCTAGAGGACATGAATGGATTGGTTCATATAAATCAAGTTATAATCCAGTCCATTTATTTTCTGAGGATTATGCCATCATAGCCATAAACATCTTCCTTAATTTTCAATTTTATGAGAGTTTCTCCTACCAGTACACACGCTGCATTAAATGATATTGTACAGCACCCTTTAATTATTCTTGGGAGAATTTTCCTTAAGTTTTTGATGTTGAACTTCTATTCTAATAAATTACAATTAATTAAGGTTTTTAGTTGAGATAAAAAAATCAATGGCATGATCTTGGAGGTTGAGATGGGAAGTTGATGTCCAAGTGGATCGAGGTCACGATAGCTCAAGTGGTAGAGCAGCGGCGTATCTAGCCGAAGATCGTGGGTTCGAATCCCACTCGTGCCATTTCTTTTTTATCTCAACTAAAAACCTTAATTAATTGTAATATATTAACTGGTCAAACAGACCATGAAATTAGTGAATTCTTTTCTAATGCTTTATCCAGATGGTGCAGCGAAGGTCAGTAGAGGTAATAAGGGCACTACTGGATTTCGTAGTTAGAGCTTCACTTGATATACCCAGTATACTTTGGCTGAACTTGATTATGCATTCCAAACTTTTTCCTAGTATAGTCAAGTCAAATTATGAAGTTTGTCAGTCAGTTTATTTCAAAATTTCTCGTTTTGATCGCCCACGATCATCCCAGTCCTCCAATTTTTTCTGTAAGTTTGTAAGTTCTGTACTTTCCTGATGTAAGTCAAATGAGAGGGAGAGGAAGTTGGAACTAAGTCTAGATTTGTCTATTGGATTTGAACAGAGTTCTTTACTCCTTTATAGTTTGTAGCAAAAGTCTATTCAGGGCAGGTCTTTGACAGCCATATTTTTATATGAATTCCATTCTGGGGTTTTACACATGTCTTTCGTCTCATAGGTTCATTTTCATTTAAAGATATTTATTTTGTGAGAGGGTTGATAGTGGAATATTGACTACTTTCAACCCACAACTAGGTTAGTTTTATAATAGGTTTAAAGGGTGATGAGGAATATCGAGAACTTTCCCTAATGGAATGTATGGTATTTAAAGAAGAAAGAATGTGTTTAAGATTGATTGAGAGTGTGGATGGGTTTGAAATCAGGAACTGATTGTGTTGGAAGCTGAAATGGTCCTGTAACCCGGCCTCATCAGTTGGGTCAGTCAAGAACTAGGTCTGACCCAGAAAGCCAATACCCAGGGTGGGTGATTCTCGCAGCAGGTTTGTAATTTACTGTAAAGTACAAAAACTGAAATTGCCAGTGGACTACAAGAAATAATAGGCTTAACTCTGCACAAATATTTAAACTGCCTGTTGTTACTTGAGTTGTGGAATGCGTAGATAGTAATGTGTTGATAGATAGCAGATGGGAATGAAACAAGTTTTAAATTAATAAAATTGTTTTAACACTAGATACTACAAATTGAAACTAAAAATTTGGTTTAGGACATATACTGCGTTTGATTAGATATGCAAGCTCCAAAACCATTCCCAGTAATCTATTGTAAACTTGAAAATGTTTTGTTTGAACAATAAACTAACAATAACTTTTTAAAATATTTAAAAATTGATAGATGTTCTAAAACAACTTTAATAATTAAAATGTTAGATTTTTTCACAGTATAGTCTTGATGGAAAAGCAAATTCAGCTGCTACTGCCAAGCTTTCGACCTATTTTAAGGTCTTCATTGTTGCAAAACAATTGTAAATATGATGGGTTTTGTTCTGTGAGTCGGTGAACTTATGTTGAGCCGGCACAGGGTCACTTACTGGTAGTTGGTTCAACATGAATTCAACAAACATAAATATATCTACAAATTTAAGTTTGTTTTACCCTGTTGTCCTTTAAATACTTTGAAAACTTGGCAGTAACTTTGCAGAGAATTTGCTTTTTCATCAAGACCATACCGTGATTTTAAGTATCCGCGAGTGGAAAATGGTCGAGACATCTAACACTTAAACCGAAAACTTCATAAGTTTTTAAAGTGGTCTTTCCGTTGTTTCGATTTCCTTAACACACTCGATTGTAAAATGCCAAACATACAATAAGAAAAGAGCTACAATGGCCCAGGGCAAACAAATTTGATATTTTTTTACAGTGCCATTTCGTATATTTGATACATTGTATATTTATTTATTTATTTTTTTTTTTTAATAATAAAACCACTAAATAAAATGGATGCAAGTAAGCAACTGCCCAATCAAAAAAAAAAAAAAAAAAAAAAAAAACAATTCTGTGATATATAAGCAATACAGAATTATTTCCATGGTCATAACCATTCAGATAATATCATAATCTGATAAGAACCATACAATATTATATAACAATTCTCCACGTGTAATTATGTTGATGTAAAATGTGATGGTCTGGAATCTGGAATTCTGGATTGTCCAAGTCCAAGTCCATGTGTCCTCCCCTCTTTCAACCTGCAACTGCATTGTCCCCTCCACATTCAGGGTTCCCTACTAGTTTTCTTTGATAAAGTTTATTACTACTCAGCTATTTTGACTTATTCACGATTTTCCTCTCGTGTACCTTCTTCATTCATTAGCCTTACTTACATTTAACATTTTATAATTGATCTGTGATGATTTAATTTGGGTCAAAAACGAGCAGAGTGATACAATAATGGTATTCAAATGGAAACAATCAAAAAAGGAGGAACAGCCCCCAGTAAGTTTCTTTAGTGATAAGTTCCTTGTTTAAAAGATTCTTCTGCATTCTTTGTTTTATTACAATAAAGAAAATAAAAAATAATGTACCTGAAATTAGTATTGGTTTTCTGTTCATCTAGTTCATGTGATCGCTATGTACTCTCTTCGTAATCCTAAATTTGACATTCCATTAATCAGAACTGAACAATAATGCTACACAAGGTTATAAGAAATTAAAAAATTTTAAAGGAAACAAATTAAACATCATTACTTGGGTGGAAAGGAGATGAGAGAGTGAGTGTTTGAGTATGAAAGAGAGTAAATGAATAACACGGAGAGAGAGAGAGTGTGTGTGTGTGTGTGAGAGAGAGAGAGAGAGAGAGAGAGAGAGAGAGAGAGAGATAGAGTGTGAGTGAACGTGGTCTACAAAAGTCCAAGACCAGCATAGACTACACCATTTTTCAAGAATTTTGATTGCTCAATGAATCCATCACCTCCCTTCCCCCCTAGAGAGTAAATGAGAGACTGTAAGTAAGTGACTGAGAGTGAAAGAGAGAGTAAGTGAGTGAGCATGAGTGATAAAGAGTAAGTGAGAGATTGTAAATGAGTACTGAGAGTGAAAATGGAGGAATGAGTGAGCAAGCGTGAGAAAAAGAGAGAGTAAGAAAGGGAGTTAGTGAGCATGGGAGAGAGAGAGTGAGAGACAGAAAGAGATATTTTAAGTGAGTGACTGCGAGTGAAAGTGAGAGAGTAAGAAAGAATAAAATAGTAAGAGAGAGAGAGTGTAATGAGTGCCAGAATGAGTGAGCATGGGAGAGAGTGAGAGAGAGAGAGAGAAAGAGAAAGATTTTAAGTGAGTAAGAGAGAGTAAATTAGTAAGAGAGAGGGAGAGAGAGAGAAAGAAAGAGAGAGTGTGAGTGAGTGAGCATGGGAGTATCAGAGAGAGTATGAGAGATTTTCAGTGAATGACTGAGAGTGAAAGTGAGTAAGAGAGGGTAAGTTAGTAAGGAAGAGAGAGAGAGAAAGAGTGTGTTAGAGTGAGTGTATGGGGTCGTAAGAAAGACCAAGACCAGATCAGACTATACTATTTTTCTAAAAAAAATTTTTGTTCATTGAATCCACCTTCCTTCATTACTAATAAATTAAATGTTTAGATCACTCTATATTTTTCTTGTGTCATTAAAATACTGCTTAAAAATGAGAGGGGGAGAAAGCAATAAAGAAAAAATTAAACAATTTTTATTATTTTTTTTTTAATTGACAGTATATAATGTATATTCTAATAGGTTTAAAGTTTTGTGTATGCAATAATAATATTTTGTTGTGTTGAAATTGTTTTTTGTTTATATGAATCTAATTTTTTAACACCCTCTGTAATCTGAATACCCACTGCAATCATTAGTTAGGATTATTGAGTCAAAAACACTTGAAAATTCTACGTAAACGTATTTTTGTTATATCAAAGAAATACCTGTTAAGCAATGTGCTCCTCAAGATAAAATTTCGTTTGTTTTGTCATTGCACAACATGATTGATGTATTATCATATCTGCAGTGTTTACCTTGTTTTAGTTTGTAAATTATATATAAATTATCAACAAGATGTGTTAATGAATCTGTGTTTAACCCGAATTTAATGATTTTTTTAAAATAAAATTATTGGCATATGTTGCAGCAACATGTTGGCAGGGGTTCATTAAGATCTGACGACTACGATGAATGGGATTCCAGGTTTATGCTAAGGTCTGATCACGATGATTTTGGTGGTGGCTACAATGATAAGTAAGTGTCAAAAAAAAACCACTCCATTTTCTCAGATAATAGAGAGGATAATAAATTTGATATTCATTTGACTTGTGATAGTACCAATTTAAGATTCATTATGTCTAGATGGGGGAAGAATAGTTGGTTTAAACCGTCTTGTATCCCGATAACTATCATACTACTTCTTATTGTACTTGTTGTACTATTACCATTACTCGATGCAGCCGAAAAACAAAGCAGGTCGGAAGAGCTTAAATTAATTATGAACAAATGCCAGCAACATTGTGTGTATGTTTTCTCCAGTTGTGTAAACACAATAAATAGAATTTTATGTAAATAATTATGTTGCGATTACAGTTTCAGCTTAGTGGAAACGATACCAGAAGGAATGGTGTACAAAAATGGAACGACACCTTTTCCTTCTACATTTGATGTCTGGAAAGAAATGATACTGAGTGCCAACAGTTCATTAGAAATTGCATCTTTCTACTGGACTTTAAGAGATGGAGATGTTTCCAGAGAACCCGGTTTAACTAAATACCCTTCATCAGACAAAGGCGAAGAAATTTTTGCCAAGTTGTTGGAAATTGGACAAGGCGGTAAGGTCAATGTGAAAATTGTCCAGAGTGAGCCATCAAAAATGACCCCTAACACTGATACAGAAGTGTTAAGCAAAAAAAAAGCTGCCGAAGTAAGTTTCCGAGCTGAAATATTTTTATCGATTTCCTCTTGTAGTCTGCAGGGTGATAAACCTATTGATAGTTACCTGTTATCTTGGTCTGCTTATCCTAGTTGATTTTTTTCGGTACAGGCACGTTTCGGCATTTCGCCATCTTCAGTTTTTGACACTGTACCAACAAAAATCAGTGAGGTTAGGTAGACCAAGAGGTAACTATCAAACAATAAAATAATTTTGCCCTCTCCCCAAATAGAAATTTATATTATAATAACAAATATTTAAGCTTTCTATTTGGAATATTTTTTATTGTTTTTATTTATGTGAATGTATTACTCGGAAGGTAAGGAGTTTGAACTTACCAAGATTGATTAGTGGCAATGGTGTTCTTCATACGAAGCTTTGGATCGCCGATAGAAAGACAGCTTACATCGGTAGTGCTAACACCGATTGGCGATCATTAACACAAGTTAAAGAAATGGGAATTTACATTAAGAATTGTACTTGTCTCATTGAGGATCTAGGAAAAATTTTCAATGTACGTATCCATAAATAAATTCAGCATTTGTCCATTTAAAGAGTACCGTATTGCATATTCAATGCTTAGGTGTATTGGATAATGAGTGTTCCAGATGCAAAGATCCCTTCAAATTGGCCGAAAGATTTGTCAACGATATTTAACAATAATAATCCAATGCAGTTATTTCTTAATGATACCAAAACATCTGTCTACTTATCGGTAAATTATTGAAGCTATTGGTTTAAAACCATTGGATTATGTTGTTTCATATTTGCAGAGTTCACCACCTGAACTTTGTCCACCAGGAAGAGAAAACGATGGAAATAGTATTGTGAAAACTATCAGCAAGGCTGAAAAATTTATTTATGTTGCTGTAATGGACTATGTACCATTAAGGATATATACCCCAAAACCTAAGTAAAAATTTTTATATGTTTTTATCGATCTGCCTTGTGATAGAATAGTAATATATTTTAGATTTTGGCCAATGATTGATAATGCGTTGAGAGCGGCTGCAATCGACCAAAAAGTGGAAGTGAGGCTGTTGATAAGCTCATGGAATCACACTTCAAAAGAAGAAAAGTATTTTTTGCAATCCATTGTTGATATTACAAACTCATTCAAGAACGTTAAGGTGTCTGTGGTATGTACAAAAAACATGATGTGTCCGAAAATAAGAATGTATGTTATGCATTTGGCTTTTTATGAAAATAGAAACTATTCGTCGTTCCAAGTTCAGCAGATCAAAGCAAAATACCTTATGCAAGGGTCAATCATAATAAATACATGGTCACAGACAACATTGCTTACATAGGTACTAGTAATGAAATATGCAGGGTGAAGTTAAAAAAAAAAATTAATGTAAATTTTTTTTTGTGCTTGATAGGAACTTCCAACTGGTCAGGTGATTACTTCATAGACACAGCAGGTGTTGGGGTTATTATTGAAGGAGACACATTTATTAGAAAAGACCTGGAGGATGTTTTCCTGAGAGATTGGAATTCCGAATTTGCACATTTCATGAATTGAATAAAGACATGACGACTGAGTTGAAAATTCTGTCATATAAGCATTGTTTTTATTCCAAGTTATTGCTTTAAAATACATACGTTGTCAATTGCTAGAGATAAAATTGTATTCAAAGCCATGTCAGATAAACGTGTTTATTAAATACATTTATAATATATTTTGTTAATCTTTTCCAAACAAATTTTTAAGAATGATTCTGTTACTATGACATAACACATTGAAAAAGATTGCTTATATGAAGAGATTTTTCTGTTGAAGTACCACGATCTCAAAAAAATTTCAATTAATTTTTGTACAATTTTATTCTTAATAAAAGCAATTTTTCATTATTTGCATTATTAATTACTTCCAAGGCAATATCAGTCATTGTGTAAGTTTAAATGAATTAAGAAAATAGGTCATTGATGTCTCAGAAAAGGTGCAGTTTCTGAGGGTGTTAATATTGATACTGGTGTACCTCAAGGATCAAACTTTGGCCTTATATTATTCTTATGTTGTTAGTGTCTTCTAACAGATTTAGAGGCACAGTGCTTGATTAAGGGTCGCTGACCTTGAGCCCTCTCCGAACTCAGAGATCAAGGCATCTCCAGCTAGCTTGGAGGAGTTGTCAATGGAAAGCCCTGTGCACAATGTTAAGTGTAAAAGAGTGTCACCACCAAAGAGTGTCATCATGAGAGATCCGTGGGGTTCTGTTCTTTCCCAGCCACTGTGTGTGGTGCTTCATTCTGATTAGCCAGGGTGTACTGATTCGTACATACTTAAAGCTTAATGACCAAGTAGAGACTTCAAAAAAATAATTAATATGGAAATTTTTATGGCTAATTTGTCTTTTTTAATTTTTTGGTTTTTATTTTAACAAAATTCTATGTGGTTTTTAAATAAAGTAAATTCATTACTTATTTAAACAATTATTTGGATATTGTCAGCACCTTTTTAAAAATTATTAAATTTTTTCATTATATAGTTTATTTTAAAAGATATATGACCATTTTGTATCAACAAGCAGCATGGCCAAGATTTGATTGATCCTGATGGCAAAATGGTCATATATATTTCAAAATAAACTGTATAATGAAAATTTTTAAAAAGATTCTGGGTGTAAATTCCCGAAACATTCAAATAAATGTTTAAATAAGAAATAAACTTACTTCATTTAAAAAAAATCACATGGATCCAATACCAAAAAATAAATTAATTAAAAGGAAATAGTTAAAAATATGAATTTGACCACTGAATTTGAACTGCCTGACAGGGGAGCATTGGGCTTCGTTTGGACATTTTGTCAGCAGAATATATTTAAGTATTTTATAGCATATTTGACATATAAAATTATACAGCAATATGTATTGTGAAAGAAAATCTGTAATCATCAAGGGAACAGATAAAAATAAAGTACTCCCAAGGGTATAGTCCTTGGAACAAATATATATGTATAATCACAAGGTTTATTTTTATGACTTTTCCTAGATATATAGATATCATCTTTTCAATAGTTGTTTTGCCAATAAAACAAAATATATTTATTTAGATTAGCAATTGTATTGTAAAATAGCAGAGATCACCTTGACCTATATGATTTAATCTTAAATTTCCAGAATCCTTCATAGGAACTGGACGAGTTAGATTCCCTTGAGTTGTTAAATTCAAGGAATTTTATTGTTTTCCTGTGTAAAACTGGATGATTTGTTCTTTCAGACCAAACCGTCTGCAAAGTTCATGCCACTGTTTGTTCTCGACTGCGACTGGCGTGTTTTAATTCTTTTTACCTCTTTTCTGAGATATATTGCATAATCATTCAAGCTTTGTCGTATTTGATCTTTTGTTTATCGGTTTATTTCCAATGGTTTTTTGTATGACGCTCTCTCCCCCACACACACACACACACACACACACACACACACTGATTCACTCTCTCACACACTCACNGCCTCACTCACTCACTCACTCTCTCTCTCACTCTCTCTCTTTCTCTCTCTCTCTCTTTTTTTCTCACTGACGCACTTATTCTATGGTTTTATGGAAGTCAATAACTTTTTATATTTCGGGCTTACCTCGTTCTCTCCTCATCGACACCTTCCCGTTGTATGATAGAATGTCATATATTAAATTGTAACTGAACTACAACTATAAACGGTATACAATGAAAAGTGTATAACTATAATAACAAATTAAATTTTAAACGTTTTTCATAGGCCCACACCCATGCTATTATTCCATTCATCCAGCCATGCTATAGACCTCTGTCAATTTCACTACATTCTTCCCTTGATGCGTTCTCGTAATACCTGTCGCTTATTTATGGGGTATAAATGTCCATAAACTAATTTTTATGGTAAGCATAAAGAAAACCAAAATCTGATGGGGTTAAATCTGGTGAACATGGTGGCCGAGGAACACGATCTCTACATGTCTCAACACAGCTAGTACTAAAAATCGTTAAATTGTTTAAACTTAAAACAGAACTATGTCTCGTCCAGAACAGAGGAAAATGACCGAAACCAAGACAAAATAATATAGGCAAAAAGTAGCATCATTGAAAATATATGTCACGGCGAATTTTTAATAACACTAAAAAAATATATATATAAAAAAAACCGAATCGCTTGTTTTAAAAAGTTTGATAATAATATTTGTAACATACTTTATAGGGCAAATCGGCAGATAGTCTCAAAAAGAGATTAAGGTCATCAGATAAATTTGTGCAAAAATTTTATCCATTGCAGGCCCCCAAGGTTAACAAAACTATCTTATAAACTTGTTTTCTCTTAAATTTATTATTTTTTATACAGACTTTATTAAGGACCTATATTGTGAGTACACTGTCTCCCGAATCGGAACTTGGATACACCGAACATTCGGGTAATGCGAATTGGGAAAAAAATCAAGAAATCAGAATTTTAAAACACACAAATGAAACATTATTTGAGAAGAAGTGAGAGTGAGAGGGAGAGGGGGAGAGAGAGAGAGAGAGAGCGAGTGTAAGGGAGCGAGAGGCAGAGAATTAGGGAAAATATATGAGAGAGAAAAAGAAGCGAATAAGCGGGAGAACGAGAAATAGTGAGAGTGTGAGTTAGTCAGTGAGTTTATTTATTTAGAAATCGTGAGATGCGGTCTGGTGTGATGTAGGTTTCAGAAAAACATTTTCTTTATCGTGCCAACGTTTCGATCTTTATTGAGATCATCTTCAGGGCCTGGGATTTACAAACATTGTTTACATATAACAATTACATTTTGGATGTGGAAAAGTGAATTTATACAATGCAAAATATATTTTTTATATATTCAATCAAAGTATTTCTACTCACTCAAAGTGTTTGTCTTCTGTGTAATTGTGCCATTCTTGCGTGATGTGTCGAGAGTGCCGATAAAGAAAATGTTTTTCTGAAACCTACATCACACCAGACCGCATCTCACGATTTCTAAATAAATATCGATTAACGGTCACTAATCACCACACATTAGTGAGTGAGATTGACAGAGAGAGAAACTGAAAGAATGAGTAAGTGGGGTCATACGAAAGCCCAAGACCAGACAAAAAATCTTTCACCTTCCTTCACTACTAAAAAATGAAATGTTCGTTCAGTTTTCATTTTTCTTATGCTATGTATAATATACCTAATGCTTAAAAATGAGAGAAAAAGATGAAGCCGGGCAACCCAGGCACAATAATAAGAGAGAGAGGGAAAAGTGAGTGATGAGAAAGAGAGGGAGAGAAAGTGAGAGAATAAGTGAGTGAAAGGATGTTATGAGTGAGTGAGAGTAAATGACGAGTGAGTGAAAGAATGTGAAGAGAGAGTGTGAGTGAGAGGGAGAGTGTTACGAAATATCAACTCAGCCTATACGAATTTTCCAGAAATTCTTTTGTACAGCGAATCTTTCACCGCCCTTCTCTGCTAATAAATTAAATGTTAGATCAGTGTACATTTTCCTTGAATTAAGTATAACATACTGCTTAAAATGGGAGAAAAAGATGATGAAACAATTAAGAAACTGTTATTAAATAAATTATTTTTAAATAAAATTTGACAGTATATTTTAATAGATTTTGTGTATTTAATAACAATAACGTGTTTTGTTGATTTTTTTTATATACATGTTTTACATGTGGATGTATTTTTTAACCCCCGCTGTGATCCGAATATCCTGCGAGATCACTATAGTTTATTGTTGTTCCTTATTGGTTGTACTTGTTGGTATTGAGAATTTATTTTCCTATTGATTTGAATAACGAAGTAATATCGTACAGAATGGTTGGAGTTTTAGGTTTATTTTTTTCCTCTCTTTTGACTCAAGTTCTTGATGCCATTTATAATCCATGTGTGTACCAAATCTTACAGTGAAAATCTGTATTAATTATGTTTAAATGGATGCATAAAAACTATAATCGACGCCATTCTTAGAAAAATGGAATGCCAGAGTTTGGGCACGTAGTTCCGCAGATCAGGTGAACTCCGAACAACGAATTCCCGAGAATCTGTCCTTAGGCGCAGGGTCAAGTTCGCGATCAGAGAAAGCTTCGGGAGTTGAGTCATTTCCCTTTCGCGTAAAGGAATTTTTGATTCAGAAACTTCTGCCCACTCTTATCAACATTGTGTTTGATGTTTGGCAATGTTTTTAAAAAGACAAAGCCCATTAAAAACAAACGCGTATCTGGTTCGCACAGGGGACAAAGGAATCTTTCGATAAAAAAACAATTTGTAAGCATATTTAAGTTTGCTTCTTGAACCGTTTATCTAATTCGCGGACGGTAAATGTCGTCCCTTTATCTATTGTCACGAAGTGGGCAGGTAAGACAGCAAATTATTTTACGAGTACTACCTGTACTTTTTTTCACACAGGTCTGCTACCTCGATACTTCATCTCTCAGGAGGTCATAACTTGTACAATTAATACAGATCATTATGATAAAATTTATTTGATACATAATCAGGCTGAACTGAAGAATGGATGTTCTCATTATTCCACTCATATGACTGCACTGGGTAGTTTTCATCAAATGAATAATCAGAAACAAATTGGAAGACTTAAAAGGTGGTGCATTTTTCGACGTACCATAGGAAAAACAGTGCACCACTTCCTTAAATCTAATCATAACGAATTTCTTGATAGACTCTGAAAGAATAAGCTAAATGAATAGCTACTGCTACTAATATTCGGCGCTGCAGCCCTTGAAGGGCCATGGCCTACAGTGCTGGCAGTCTCTTCTGCCCTCCACGAGTCTCCTTTATCCTCTGCATCTCCTCGAATTCGACCAACCATCTCTTTCTAGGCCTCCTTTGCAGTCCTCTACCTCCTGGCTTACCCGAGTAAACTTTATTTACAGTCCTATCCTCTGGCATCCACCTGAGGCGGTTCGCTTTTATTTCTGGTGCAAAACTTTAAACTCCCCAGGAATTCGCCAGTGGCCATCTATGCCAATTGCACCTAAGATCTTCCGGAGCACTTTTCTTTCCAAATGCCTCAAAAAATCTGATCCAGTTTCAGAGCCATAAAGACTCTCACAATTTACTGTTGAGAGATCTTGTGGGTGGCGGGACCTGAAGATCTTCCCCAAGGCAAAGTAGCACCTATTCACAGCAATTATTGCCCGGATTTTTTCTTTGACAGTGTTATCCTCGGGGCTCGATGATATTTGAAGGCATTATAGCGTTTAGTGGAAGCGGAATTGACTTGCCCTTGACCTCTTGTGGAATGCATGTACATCTTCTTGGTGCGGACCAAATCCAATCTTCCTGCTTCAACCTTGATTCAAACCCGTCTCAAGCTCTCTCAAATTCCTGGTAGCCAAGTCAATATCATATACATACTCCAGGCTTTAAGTTGTATGGTTCATCAAAGTCCTCCTGAGTTACTCTGATCCACATTTCTCATCATGAGACTTTGGAGAGCCAAATTGAAGATGGTGATACAGCGCATCCCTTTGTCTGAGTCCCTGACTGAATACCGGTCGAACAAAAAAAATCATTCCGTATTTAAATAGTTAAAGCTTTTGATGTGATTGATATCAGTCTTAATATTATATTTGAATATAAAATATCCTTTAACCGACCCTGTGTACATTCAAATTTAGAAAATCTTGTGTCTGGTCGAAAATCTGATATAACACTGACAGAAAGATAAAAGAAACTTCTGCCCTTAATTTGTATCATTGTTTTTACCAGTCTATATTTGTTTATGCTACGTTTTAAAGCGAATATCAAAGAGGTAAACACGCTTAATTTTTAATCCAAAACAAGGATAAACGATTTTTCACTGTTTACTCTTTTACGGAATTTATTCAGTCTCATTTGAATTCTGAAGCAATAAACTTTTTAGTTTTCATCTTTGTTTTCTTAACTTTAATTTTTAAATTTAAAAATACCACTTAGTGCGAGGATGTTACGCGTGGTGTGGCACTTATTGATGATGATCGTTCCATCAGGTAAGAGGCTATTGCCATCGGAGTTACTTACGAAACACTGCGTAGACGTTTTCGAGACACTGGGTCCTACCATAGAAGACCCTGTTCTGGAGGCCTTAGGATAACAGAACCACAGGATGACCGTTTTTTAACTTTGTGAATTTTGCCTAACCGGCACATTACTGTTGTTCAAGCGATTCATCAGCAACAGGGTGTTCGCCGGAGAAGATTAAATCAGTATTGACGCTTTCGCCACGACCAGAACACATAGAGTTGCACGGCTCGCAATTGCTCGAGAACACAGCCATTGGTCTTTGGACGATTGGTCTGCTTTACTTTTTACAGATGAGTGTAGATTTGCTCTACGATCTCCAGATGGGCGTGAAAGAGTGTGGCGAAATGAAAGGTACGAAGCCTGTCATATTTACCAAAGCCAACCTTTTCAACGTAGCTTAGTGATGGTGTGGGGGGGGGAATTTCGATAGAGAGTCGCACAGAGTTGGTTGTTGTTCATGACGCCACTCGCTATGTGGATGAAATTTTGGAACATCATGGTTTGTCTATTCTCGATGAAATCAGCGACAATCCTATTCTAATACACGATAATGCCCGTCCACATGTTGCTCGCAACAACGTATCTTTAGCAGCATAACATCAGGGTCTTTGCCCGGCCAGCACATTCTCCAGACTTGAACCCCATCGAACATTTATGGGATAACCTCAAAATACAAATAAGATCAAGTCACTTCCTGACACACTCCACCATCTTGAAAGGACTCTTCGTGAAGAATGGGCTAACCTCCAGCAAAAAGACATTTCCGTACTGGTAGAAAGTATATCGAGGCGTCGCTAGTTACGTCCATAGCATACCTTCAACAGCATAACATGTTGTCTTAGCCCGTTCTCCAGACTTTAACCCATCGAACATTTACGAGATAACCTCAAAAGACGAATCACGTCCATGACTTCCTGATACACTCCACGATCTTGAAAGGATTCTTTTGGAAGAAGGGCTAACCTCCATCAAATAGACATTTCCATACTGGTTGAAAGTTTGCCGAGGCATCTTTGAGATGTAATTAAGACAAGAGGAGGAAATACACGATATTGAAATGTTGAAATTGAAAAAAATTTTATCTGCCCGACTTTTTTTTTCATTTTCATTAGCAATTTACGTTTTTAGACAAAAAAGTTTAATAATTGAGTGAAACGTTAAAAAACGTGAAACTTTGATTAATATATAAAAATATATACAAATCAAGTTATATTACAAGTGGGTGGAATTTTTTGCCGTGTATTTCACTTTTACTAGGTTCATAATGGCATGAGCATAAGTGCATAGCTGCTTAAGTTCATAGCGATCGACAATATATAACGTTTTTCTCCCATTTTCCATGTAAAAAATTAATTCAGACAGCGAAATACGAAAAAAAAGGAAGAAGCGTGAAGATAATAATGAATGTATTGTGAGGTGATAAAAACAGGCGTGCCTTCTGAACCATTACTCACGACACCGTGGAGGACAGATATGCAAATCTCTTCGATACCTTGGACGTCCGTCGCTAATAGGAATTGGCAGAAGAAGAGGGGATGTTCTTCTCCTTTGATAAATCAATTTCGAGATAAACGCACAAACTTTGGAGGGGAGGCGAACTATTAAAAAAAGGAAGGCTGCCTCGCTTATGCATATGTTGAAGGTGTATTCGCAATGCCCGCGTTCAACCGAGCTCTCTGCGGTTACTTCTTGTGCTCCTTCGCTTTCGCGTACCAAGAACTAGGGCATGAAGTGGAACAGGGATTGAACGATCTGTTGGATGCTTTTGGAAGTCAACTTTATCAAGCACCCAAATTTTCAACGGGTCAGTTTATCAGTTTTTTTCTGTTAAATATATTTTTTAAAAATCATACCATTAATAGATCAATAACAATATAATCATACAAATCACAAATTCAAATAAATATTTGGATTTTTTTTCATTTTTGGAAGTTTACTGGGATTTGTCAAAATAATTACATACAATCAATATTATACAGAATAATAGGTACGTTATCATTAATTAATGTGTAAATATTACATCCAGGACAGGACGAAAAGATCCTTGAACTCATGCCATTGCACTAAATGAAATTAAATTAAATCTACTAACTTGACATCCTGACAATTTTAGAAATTCGATTAGCTTACCTTAAATATCGGGTTAGCTCACTAAGCCAACTTGGTCATTAACTTTTTCTTTTAAAATTTAAGGCCCTTATTTTTTAACACATTTTGAAAGTCCTATCCATTCTAAAAACATTGATACCAGAAATGTAAAAAAAATTCGATTTATTCTGTAGAAATTGAAGTTTTCCTTCAGACCTTGATAATTTCCATTTATGTTAACTGATTGTTTTTATTTATTTATATTTTTTAATTATTTTATTTGTACCCTATACATATTAGTACATATTATTAATGTGATCACAGATTTTTTTTCACGCGGTCCAGCCAGGGATGCATGCACCTGGAGGTCAGATGCCATGAGAGCCAACGATGGCATTCGGGTGGCAAGGAGGTCTCGAGGACATAGTCGGGTTCTCGGGATGGGAACGATCAGAAGGGTTAGGATGAATCGGGAGGTTGGTGTGAAGCTTTGGAATCGGGAATGGATTCGTTGTGAACAGTGAGGTTACTGACGTAGCTTTGCTGATTTATCTGAGAACTTTTGACTGAAAGATTGGATGCGCTGGTTGTCGGATAGCTTGGAGAATGTCACACTTCACAGGTCTACTCCGTATGACCAAAGTGGTCGCAGTAAAGTTTTGTATAAGGTGAGTTTAGTGTTGATTGTCAAGGCGGATTTCGGTCCTGGAAATGGTCGTATTTTTTTCCACGCTAACCACTCGGCTACCGCGGCCCTCTGGTCGTACTTGTTCAATTCTTCTGTTAAGTTGTTGTCTCTTAAGTCTCGTGTGGAATTCCACGTCAATCTGCTGTTTAGGTATAGGCCTATTTGCCTTGCATGGAAATCGGTTACTGTGTTGTTTCTGTACAATGGAAGATAAGACTGTTTTTTTCATCTTCTTCAGTCTTCGATAAGCTCAAGTTATTCATGTATGTTGGAGGTAGCTTAGATGGAATTCGATTTAGGGGCCAAAATTGCGGTATCGTCCGCATATGTGATATTAGCAGTATAAATGACAAAGGTTGGGGCGAAGACAGCTCCATTGTGAGACGCCAGCTTGTATCTGTCTGCCTTCCGAGACTCGTTGCCCCACATCACTCCGAAGCAGAGGTCGGCTAGGATTTGAAGATAAAAGAGTTGGTATGATACGTTTAAGTTTATATAGCATACCCGAGTGCCAACCACCGTATCAAAAGCCTGTGCTACAATCTTTAATCTCTATAGCTCAGGAGATAAATAACTCGGAAACCTTGTTGGATCACGGAATGATGAGAACAGAAGCCAAATTGGTGAGAAGGAATGATTTTATGAGAATCTAGAAACAGTAATAAAACCTTTAAAAGGAGTCTTTCAAGGATTTTGGACCTTGAAGGAATAAGGCTGATGGATCTGTAAGCGGATATGACGTTGGGAGGTGGCTCAAGGTGTTCTTAGATGTTAGAGGTAGCTCACGGTGTTCTTGGATATTGGTGGATATTAGAGGTACCTTGGATAGGATTCGAGTTACAGGGCAAAATTGCTGTACTAGAATGTATAGGTAGGTCAGCGGTGTAAATGATATAAAGGATAGGACCAAGACAGCTCCCTTGTGGGATGCCGGATTGTTTCTTCCTAGAACTCTTTAAGTTAACTTTAACCTAACGTTAAAAATTATTTAAAGTTAGTTTTAAAAATAAACACAAGTTAAATTTTCAAATTTCTTCTTTTTTAACCAGTTACACGATAAATTTAAATTATGCAAGGTCTGAAGGACAACACTAATATCTCTAGAACAAGTCGATGAAATTTTGAATTTTTGGTATCGCGTTTTTGGTATTACATTATTCCATTGCATTTGATTTCAATTCGTACTCAAAACATTGAAAAAAGCGGATTGTTTAAACTTGGTCAGTCCATTGCAAACGTTGGCAAGTTAAACACCCAAGTTAATACCAGAATTAAATTAAATCTATATTTTTTTACATAAATTTTGCTTTCCTCTGAGTATTAAAATTTAAACATAGCCTGCTTCTTTCTTAAATATTTGATATGATGATACAATTTTTCGGCCTCAGGCTTCACCTTCGATAAAGGAAGTGGCCGAAAAAGAATAGGCCATCTGTCAGACACCCATCGCTATATGGTTCAGAATATTTCTGAATGAAATAATTAACCACGAGGGAGTGAGAACAATGCGTAAACAAACCCACGAACTATCTCAGAATCAGGAATCGTTTAAAGGAACAATCAAGGAGCAGGTCGCCAACTATTTCCCACTATGTTAATCAGCAGTGGGCGGATTTTATGTCGAATATTTTTTTAAGGCGATGGTGATTCGCAAATAAGTAAGTTTTAGTGTCTGCAAGTCAATAAGCAACTTTACAGGGGTCCTCTATGAGTCGATAGTCTCATGCACAAGGATTAACACAGACGGATAGTACATACATAAAATCAATTCTAACGAAAAGGATATAATAACAATTGACAGCTTAAACAGACCTTTTCAATCGACAAACGAAAATTATTGACAAAATGTTAAAATTACCAACACCCACGATTGTCATCCACCGGATATCGTAGGCACCTCCTACGTTAGGAACATGGTTATTGTCCATAATTAAAATGTATTCATGAATTGATTAAAAACCGTACAGTTAGATAGTACTGACTGAAGTAAAACAAGCCGAAGATAATTATTGAGAGAGTCCATACATTTTTTTCTGTTTCCTGAAAAAAGGTCAAATTTTCAAAAACTTTTCCGTCCAGTACCTACTCTTATTCTAACATCGTACCTATCTGACTGTTACACCGGGTTAGGCACGGCACAGTGATATCCTCTATCTATCTTTACCAAGCAGGCGTCCCACAAGGGAGCATTCTTGGACCTCTGCTTTATATCGACAATACCGCAATTTGTCCTCTAAATTTAATCAAACTACCTCCAACGTCCATGAATCATATCGAAGAATTGTGCAAAAGGTGGAGTACAAGTCTGAAGAAGAAAAAAAAACAGTCTAGATTTTCACTGTACAGCAACAGCAACAAGATACCTATACTTAGGACTATACCTCCTTTACACAGTATATACTGATAGATAGATATATAATGATGTTTATATACAATAAAAATTATTTTACAAAAAATATTCAGTACATAAAACATCCTAGACAATAGCCCACAGGCTGTCTGTCGAGTTGCCAAAAGAAAAAACATAGAATAATATTAATAATGTTAATAATACGAATACTAATACTAACAATACTAATACAAATAGTCATAATTTACACAATACTCTATTAATAATTGAAATTATCGATTAGGAACGCTCTGTATTTTAGGGAGTACAAAACATAATTGTAGAGGGCCAGTTCTGCCCATTCAAAAATGAAATTACTTCATTTTTTTCTAAAAACAATTTGCCAAACCACTTAAGTCTGAATTCCTTCAATTCAACGCCAAAAAATTGAAGCCATCCTCATACACACCTAAATTACACAAAGCACAACGGTACCTTCCTCATTTCTGTGGACCGAGACCTCTTGCTTTCATTGTCACACTTATCATATTCAAATTATAATTTTTATTTAAATAATGGTGATTTTCTCCTAATTCCAGATTCAGTTCTTTATATAAACCATGGAAGACAGACCGTTGTGCTCTTAATTTTAGTTTATTTTTAAAATCAGTTCTTAAAACATCTACCAAGCTTTCCACACTATTTTTATTTACGTCGGAGTAACTCAAGGGGGTTAAACCGTGTTGTAGACACAAATTGTCAAATTCTTTTGCCCAAAATATATTCCTGTCAAGGCCAAAATTCGAGGAGGTCTAGCAGAAGACAATGATAAAACTTTTTGGATGTATGTCAGATGCAGGCTTAATGTGTTGAAAAACAATGGGTCAATCCCTGTCTCTAAATATAAGACATAATCAGGTGTATCCTTTCTTAGGAAAAACAACCTTTTGACAAAATATTTGTTCACTTTCTCCACACTGTCATACCATTTATAGCCCAAAACCTGAGCACCACACAGTATAAACTGCTGACGTTCCTATCTTTCCAGAAACAATTCTCTCCCCTTTTCCTGACAGCAATTCCCCCGATAAGATCCAGTCACGGCATACAGAAACCTTCCAAAACCATTTGCAGTGTGTCGACGTTTAGTCCAAAAAGTGGAGAATAGATGCAACGAAGAGGCAATACATTAATTTCACACCTGACACACTACTCCACCGGTCGTGGAATGCCTTTAACGGGATTTCACTGCCTCCTGTTGAACGCGTACTTTGGGCTTCACTTGGGCAGACTAAAAACTATTGTCATCACAACTCGAGAGACGATCCAAAATCTTAATCTTATCGTATCGAAACTCTGGGTGGCAACTAAGCATTCCTAGAAGTAAAAATCAATTTGTAAAAAAACCTTCAAAATGTAAATATATTTTATTTTTAATCCAAAACATAATTTCGTTCGTTTTCTATAACATACGTTCAAAGTTCTAGTAGCAGAAATATCTCCATTTTCTAAAAGTCTGCCTTAGACGAGAAATTTTTTTGAGTTTGATTTTTAGATATTTTCGTTTAAAAATTCCCTAACTTTATACAAGGGTTGTACAAGTAAAAAAAGTAAACAACAACAAACAAGTAAAAATCTGAAGGGACGAGGTCTGGAGAGGTGGGCAATTTGTAACCAGCCTAACTCGGCGATGTTACTCTAGTGAGACACCTGTGTTAGGCCTGCTGTCATGATGAAACACGACGTCGTGTCTATTCACCAGATACTGATCTCTTTTTTCTTTCAACTCTGCCCCAAGACGCTCTAGTTGGGTACAGTGTACTTCTACCGTATGGATTTGATTGTGTGAAAATTATTCCTCGAATATCCCACCGAACATCTCCTGGGTAAAAACAACTCCCTCATGATATCTTGGGTACCAGGACACAAGGGAATTTTGGATAATGAAAAATCAGTTACACTGGCCAAAGGAGGATCTGCAAGATCATAGTTCCTGAACTTGTCCTTGTGATAACAAAAACAAAAACAGAATCTTCCATTATAGATTAAAAAAAGCAAAAGGAGAAGTAGATAAATCTAGAGGTACTAGGCACAGTAAGCTTATGTCAAAACAACCCTCACCAAGACTGGAAAACTCACTGCTACAATTAAAGAGGGCTAAACTCAGAGGCATTTACCAGTCACTGGCATCTAAGAACACATCTACGCAACATGGGCATATTCAATAATAACTTACAATTACCACGAAATTAGTGAATTCAATAATAACCCCATTTGTAGGTTATGCAAAATGATGAGGAAGAAACAGCCACCCATATCATTTCGAATGCGAAGCAACCGCAATGGAAACATAACGTAGGATTCAAAGAAACCGCAGGGTAAGGAATTGTTGTAACGACAGTCAATGACTTAGTACTTCTTAGCTTCATAAAGAAGGATCAAGTCAATTGCATTGAACTAAGTAACTAAGTAACAATAAACCAGAAGGCTGCAGTTGGTAACGAGGGGAATCGTGCAGCAGGCAGCCACGTCTGCTTGATGCAAGTTTTGTTGCTTTAGCCATTAGTGCTGATTGAAACCTCGTCGACAGTCGTCTGTCTACTTATCACAGCCTCTGCTTATTTACAGGCTGTAGCACGGAAGGCGAGACAATTGTTGAAGCAGTGGTTTCACTTCGTGTATAACTTGATAACCACAGGTGGTAACCACACTACGTTATCACCATAAATTTCGATAGGCATCTAAGAAAGACCACGTCTTATAGTAAGGAATGCCTCAAATTGACTTTATCAGCATCAAACAAAAAGTAAGAATATGCCAGGAAAAGACTGCATCGACCTGATTCCATTTATATTTATCAAAAACATAAAAAATGTTCCATATGAAAGGTGAAACCAATTTCTTATAACACGACCAAATCTTTGATTGTTATCTTCAAATGACATTTACAGCACTTATAAAGATAATTTTCCAGGAATATAGACAATTTTTGTAATAAATTCATAAAGGAACCGTCAATTCTTTTCTAATCGTTTCTTGAGAATCCCATAAATAATTAATAAATAAAATTTAAAGGAAGCAGAAGAATTGAAATGGAAGGTTCAATTGGGAAGCGGTTGTCGCTCATCTGAACAATAGCCAGGCAATCATTGTCGGTTTATTAATAGAATATATTCAAACCTTCCGACATCCAAAGGTCCATTAGTTAATGATCCCGGCAAGGTCGTCAAATGTCATCTACAGGGACAAGAGACGAATCAGCATATTCCTGCAGTTTCGGGACCGTTTGCTATTTCTTTAATTATCTCCTTCCTGCAGGTGATCGAGTTGCAAACTGGAGGGAGAGCGATGGAGTCAATCCTGAAGAAATGGGCGAATACCCGGAGGGTGATATCCTCTTTCCTTTGAGGGACAGCGCCGCCAGAAACGGGATAACGACGCTATCTTCGAGATGGAAAAGAGGAAAAATCCCCTACGTAATCTCAGGCTCCTTCAGTGAGTGTTTTTTTAATTTATTTATATGTATAGATTTAAGGTGATTATCCATTTTTTGTCCATTTATATACCTTGTTACACGCCTTTAGAAGGATTTTGGATCAATGGTTAATGCTCGATCCTACATGGAGCATCTGTGTCATTTGCAAACTGTAATTTTTACTCCATCTATTTTCGGAAAATCACTGGTGTATAACAAGTAAAGTAGTGGACCTAGTATGCTACCTTGTGGCACTTTTACATTTACTGTTGTTATTTCTGAATATAGGCCGTCTTGTTGGACTCTAAAATGTTATAGTCGTTAGCAATGTTGGGACTGAGATCTTTAAGGAAATTAGAGATCGCCTGTAAACACTTAAACACGTCTTTAGACATATTTAAGGTTGTTTTGCCCTGATGATGACCTTAAAATAGGTCGAAAACTGGTCAGTAGCAACTAAATTTGCTGTCTTCTTCAAAACCATACCTTGATCCATAGTGTTTGTAAGTGAAAATTAGTCGATACTGAATAAAATACAGAAAAAAGATTAGGCGGGATCTACTTCTTAGGTAGCCTCCTATTAGCTTACTTATGAGTCCGCTATGTTCCAGATCTTGTCAAAAGGCTGTGATTCATTAAAGATAGCAGAATAAATTACTTTTTCTTCGAATGATTTTCTATTATGTCTTGTTATTAATCCAAGTCAGGATGGTCTGCTTGTTTTCTACAATGGGTTGTTTTAGTTTTAGTAATAATTTTTCAAAAAGTTTATAGACTGTAGGTAGTAGCTAGAGTAGTAGTATGAGATGTTGGCCTATAATATTGGACTTCGTTCGGCGGTTTCCACGGTTTTTGTATCATGATAAGCAAATTGCCAAATGCTGGGAATATATTTTAGCTTGACTGCAGCATTAAATAGATATGTAGTTTAACCCTTTTTTGTTACATTTCTCCAGTGTTAAGAAAATACAGGTTTTTAATTTCTTGTGTTATTTCTCTGCGTGAAACTAGCTTTACATTTTTTTCTTGTGAGGTGATTATTCAATCAAGTAAATTGCCAGTGATGTTTTCATTTTGTATGAAAATTTCGACAAGGTGGCTGGCAAAAAATGCGGTCTTTTTCTCTGCTCTTTCTCATCCATGTACTGTCCTCTTTTTTCCAGTTTAATTGAGCATCGTGCTTATTGAGTGTTCAAAAAATGCCCAATACACACCAGTTTCCATTTTGAAACCGACCCTGTAAATACGGTGGTAATACGACCATTTATCAATAAGATGACACCGCAAAATACTATTTACCGTTCACCTACCAAATTTTGAAAGTGAGGGAAGAAAAAAAATAAATTGCCACCTAGGTTTTAAGTGGAGTTCTAGAGATTCTAGAATTAGCAATATGTCAATCGGAGTAGATTTTAAATATTTATTTAAATAATTTTAAATAATATCCCAAACACAGACGAATACTTTTACTTAGAACGATCACCCTTTAAAACCCTTACATACAAAGTGTAAGTGGTAATAGTGCTTTCTCAGTACTATTACAACTTTTACATGTACTACATACTTTATATATACAAAGTTTACAATTAGCTAATATTAGAGTAGTATTCAGAGTGTGTTAAAAAATACAACACAAAAATTCAAACAATGTTAATTTCAATACAACACTTTACCATTATTCCATACGAAAAACTTATTACAATACATACTGTTATTTTTTCTTTAAAAATCATTTTTATTGTTTTATTTATTTAATATTTTCTTCATTGCTTCTTCAACTTTTTCTCTCATTTTTAAGCAGCAGGTACATTATTCTTAAGACAAAAATGTAGACTAAAAAATCTTACGTTTTTTAGTAGTGAAGGGAGGTGAAGGATTCATTGAACAAAAGAGATTCTCGAAAATTCGTAAAGCCAAATCTGGTCTTGATCTTCCTATGACCTCTCTCACCGACTCACACTCTCTCTCACTCATTTATTCATTCTCACTCCCTTTCACCCACTCCCACTCACTCACTGTCACTCATTCCCACTTCTCTCTCACTCTCTCACTCTCTCTCTCTCCTCTCCCACTCACCTCTCTTTCTATATTTATACCTATCTATCTATCTCACTCCTTCACCCACACTCTTATCTTTTTCTCTCACACCGTCTTTCTCGTTTACCATCTGTCGATCTCTCTCTTTCACTCTCATTCTCTCTATATATCGATCTAACTCACTCGTTCACCCACACTCTTATCTTTTTCACTCACACACTCCCTCTTTTACTATTTGTCACCCACACACTCTCTCTCTCTCTCTCTCTCTCTCTCTCTCTCTCTCTCTCTCTCTCTTTTTCTCCCTTCCTTTGTGTCCGTACGAGCGTATATTTAATAAGTAAAAACAGTAAAATATAAGAAAATAAGTTTTTAAGGCCAAATTCAGTTTAAATTTATGCCTCCTCGGCTTTTCTAGTTCCTCACTATTTCACCTTTCAAAATTTATACAGTATTTTATACAATAAGAACAAAAAAAGTGGATCTTTAACGGACAGAAATGATACGTAACTATGATTTAGGGATGTAACTGGTTCTTTTGGTTCTTGTTATTTCAGCCAAATCGTATTTACCCTGTGAAATACACACATTCGCATACGGGATTTTTGCAATCCTCGATTTTTTAAGACGGTAAACGAAACCAAGTGCTGATATTCCCACGGGATGCAACTTCAAACTTAGTCGACCATCTTTTCAGATTGAGATCACGGACTCTTCAAAAATGGCAAAGAAGATTTTACAAAAACCGAACTCGTGATGAAATGGAACATCCGGTGGGGCAGCAAAACCGACTTAATTGTACTGCTGTGTGTGAATAGACAGCGTGTTACCCAATTCGCACATATTTGGAGAGCTATTTCAATGTATGCTTCTTCACGACGTTATTTGCTCAGCCTTGTTCCAGTTATGAAGGCCGTGCGAGGGAGAAGTAAAGATGGTTTTCGCGAGAATGAATCGTGAATTTCATTTCCACACTGTTTGGAAAAAAAGGCCTTATTTGTTCAGTATAAACAGCAATATTTCAATGTACTATGCTGCTGTTTACGTAGCGTCTTATATAGAATTCTAAAAAGCATGCTAAAATATAGCATTCTTATAAAAATGTTATGCTTAAAATTGAGCTGTTTGTTCTATAAATAGAAATGTGTACATTTATCCATGTATATATGATGCAGTTTGTCAGTCAGTCGTATGATGTACATATAAACTTCTGCAAAAATTATAAATTTACCTACTTTAGTGGAATTTTTTGTTTTTTATTAAATCAGTTTGACATATTACCTGTTTGTTATCAATTATATCTCGGTGTAAAATATAGACGAGTTAATGCTGGTATATAAGCCTGGAGAATGACCCATCCTTGGTGTTGGCAGTCCGGTCAGACAAGGGTCTTATCCATCCGGCATCGATGTTGGGATCTTGATGCTGTCAATAGCTGGGTCATTTCAGCACCCAACATAATCAGTTACTAAATCCAAACCCATTCACACTCTCTCTCAACCCTTTCTTGTCCTTCGATATCAAAGGGCAAGAGCATTTCAGTGTAAATCAATGTAAATTCTGTGTATTGGCAACACTAATTTGTTTGGTGTCAATCTAAATCTTCATCAAATTTTGTTCAAAATTAGCAAGAAATCCCGGGTGTTTAGGGTTGACGCAGTTTTGAACCTGCTCTGTTTTTGCTAGCCCTTTGGCAACACTGATTTATTTAGCGCCAATATATAATCTCTATCTTGGAATCTTCTATCTCCGAACACTGCATCTTTTTTGAATTGTAATAAATTGCAAACATAAATTTTTTCTATCCAGTTTTACATTCTTTCCTATTTACGTAACATTCACACCGTTAGGATGGAGGAGTACTCAATAATCGTCCATCCTTTACACCTATTACATAACTAACCTAATTTCAATAATCCGCCATCGACACTCACACATTCACTCTAATAAATACATTCTCTCTCAACGCACGCTAGGGACACAAATCATTACTATATACAATAAAACAACCCTGTTTCCTCCAAGAATCGGAACTGGAGACCAGATACTCCCTGTGTGCTAAAGCTCAATTCAAATATTTGGTGACATTCCTACACGCTCTCTTTACGGAGCCAAGGGATTACACCCTTCAATTAGGTGGGACACATCAAACAATTTTCTCTGCATGCCGAATGGGCGAAGCGTTGCCCCAAAAATAAGTGTCTCAATATTCCTCCATCACCAACTACACATATATAACTAACCTAATTGAGGGTCGTTGGGGAACATTGTTCCGTCTGCGACCCTCTCACACTACATATTCAAGCTAATAAATACATTCATTCTCAACGCACGCTATGGACGCAAAATGTTCCCTGTTTCCTCCAAAAATCAGAACAGGGGACCCAGATACTCCCTGCTGTATTCAAGCACAATTCTCATACCGGGTGGCATACCTACACGCTCTCTATATAGAGGAAGAAATTGCACCATCCAATTTGGTAGGACACATCGAACAAACTTTCTCTGCTTGCTAGACACATACGAGAACTTTGTCCCAAAAAATATTGGTACAGAAGCATTCAGTTGAAGTTGTATATTATTAATTCCACTTTTCAGATTTTAGATTATTGTTTCCCAGTATATTTTGAATAATTAATGTAATTTCTTATTGTACAGGCTACCAAGACAGGCAAATGTTAGATCGCGCATTTGATGAATATGCGCGGCTCACATGCATCAGATTTGTCCCTAGGTCGACTGAAACCGATTATCTATACATCACGAGCGAAAATACAGGTTGCTGGTCTTCTGTGGGCAAAATCGGAGGTGCCCAACAACTCAACTTGCAAAGTCCAGGATGCTTGACACAACTCGGAACGGTGATGCACGAGTTGATGCACGCCATTGGTTTCATGCACGAGCAAAATCGCTGGGAAAGGAATAGATATGTGACAATTAAATTTGAAAACATTGAACCAGGTATTTTATCTTCCGTTTTTTTATATAGATTCGTATTTTTAATATCGAATTTTTTTCCTGAAAGGGAAAGAAATTAATTTTGAAAAAGCAAAAAGGAAAACAACAGATGGTCAGGGGATTGAGTACGACTATTCAAGTGTGATGCATTACTCCGGGACGGCATTTTCTATCAATGAACAACCTACAATAGTAGCTAAAGTTTGTAATCGCTTAAATCTGAAAACTATTATACTATTAATTAAACTAATAATTATTGATTTTCTTCAGGTTCCCGGTGTCAAACTAGGACAAAGGGTTAACTTATCGAGGAAAGATGTAAAGAAAATAAGAAGGATGTATAGATGTAACAAGGGCGTTTCAAACATAAACTAAAATAATTTATGTTTATTTATTTTTGTATATATTTATCTGTTTGTACCTTTTTGTAAGATAAAAATTTTCAAAGTATTTTGGAATTATTTATTCTTAAAAGAAGAGACCATAAAGGCGATTAAAGAAACACTGGTCCCCTTCATAAATCTATATTCTAATAAATTGACCTGGTCCCTTAGGAGGAAGATGTAAAAAAAATTCTGTATGTGAGAAAACACCCCCGGCTTTCTTAAGAAGGGCTACAGGAAACCCAACAATTGACCTGCCCGCCCGAGTACCATCTTTATGTCATGGGCACTCTTTGATGAGATGTGACTGAACAGCCTTTCTCTACGTGTGTGTGTCAGACGGGTGTGGCCTATCCTCAGTCATGATTGAGCATGGTCATATCCTTTCATTTTAGACTCTCAAAGGTATATCGTTCATAATTCACAAGAGGTTCTTGGGCGACCTAGTCCACTCTTACAGCATTCTTTACTGCTCATACAGCTTTACTGGGCCTTGGGACTTAGTTCGATCTGGAGGGCAAGACATCCCAACTTTCAATGCCTATCTGCACGTTCGTTGCCCTCGAGCACAACTTTTCTTTATACCCAACTAATATCTCAAGCAACACCAAAGGGGTCTACCAAAAATATCTCTTTGTTTGCTGATACCGTGCTCAGGGAAAGACGAGTATGAGTTTGTCATTTTAAAAACATAAATTTAGTTCAATTAATTATACTTTTTTTTCTAAACTCTTGGTTGAGATGAAAAAGTTGATGTCACAAGCAGGATTCGAACCCATGACCTTCAGCTCAATACGCCACTGCTCTAACCACTGAGCTATCGTGACTAGTGACAAGTGGTTTGAGTAGTTTTAAATAATGAAATAGGTTAGTTATGACTACTAAATATTACCCTACCATTATATAATTAGTATAATTAATAAATATTTTGTTGTTTAAAAAAAATTAAAATATCTGGATTGTACACACGGTGGTCTGTCGGAATATAATAATAATAGAACTAAAGGTAAAATAATATTTATTGTTGGTTGGATCAAACTGTGGATCAAAAAAGTATTGGCACACTTAACTTGTTTTACATTTCAATTTTAAAAAATCAAAACAAATTTTGTTTACATATTTCATAAAATATTTAGAAAAATACATTATTCAAAAAGAAAAATTGAAAATTTACATAATGCAACAATTAAGTAAAATAATAATTTTTACACAATCAAAAAAGGATTGGCATAATTTTTTTATTACTTATAAGGTTTTTATGAACTGGAAACCATTAATATTTTGTCATCTTACCATTGGCATCTATGACAGCCTGTATCCTCCTTGGCATCAGGAAACAAAATTTTGTGAAACTTCTTGCCCAATTTTATGCCCTTCCTCAAATAAAGTTTCTTTCAACACATTTTTTGAAGAAATTTTATTTTTTCTTACTTTTAGGTCCAACATATACCATGTAAGTGTTCCATTGAGTTTATGTTTGGAGTCTGTGATGGTGTTTTCAATTGCTGGGGAACGTTGTACAGCATCGATTCTTTTTTGTTTGCTGTGTGCTTGAGATTTTGTTGAAAAATAAAAGTGTCTTTTTCCCCCAGCTCCTCAGCACTACTTTTTAAATTATGCCACAAAATGTCGACATATTTCTCAGCTGCTGTCCCTCTAAGTCAATGGCGATAAAGTTGTCTATACCATTCAATAACATGCACCCCCAAACAAGGATGCTTCCATTTCCATGTTTTACAGTGGGCCTCACATGGCGAGCTTGAAACTCAGATTTTGATCAAACGTACTTGCAGTCATTAGATCAGAAATTGTTGAATTTACTTTCATCTGAAAAAATATTGCTTAGTGGCACATGCTTTGTTATCATTGTATTAGTAATAATATATTAATCTATTGAAATAAAATGGCTATTTGTTTTCACTGGAACTAGTAGTAAACATTTAAGCTCTACCAATACTTTCTTGGCCCTCAAAATTTACTCTGTTAAGTTTACTTTAAAATGACTTTTTGAATTCCAAACATTCATAGCTTCTAAAATCTAATTATAAAGGGCCAATTTTAAATTAAATATTATTTATGGAAAATATCTTAAGACTATTGAGATTTGCGGAAAAAGTGGGGTGCGCCAATACTTTTTTGATCCACGGTTACTTGCCCTGCTCGTCACAGATGGGACAGAGAACTGGTGCTGGGACAAATTCCACCCTATTCTTTGACCAAAGGTGAAAATAGAAATTTATTCAAGCTTGTCCTACCCGTTTTGATGTCAGCTGGAGAAGATCCTGGACGTGGCACTCGTGCTACTTTGTTAACGATTTTAATCAAAAATAAAATCAAAAGAAACTTCTCAGGAAATTTTAAAAAAACTACTTGAAGGAAGTAATGAAATTGAAGGCGATTTGAAGCTAGCAGACTGTAATAATTGTAAGAAGGAGCAGTAAGGATAATACAAGGGAAACAGGATGGAATCTAAAAGAAGGGAGTAAAAATAACGAGAAGAGATATAATCAGAAACAAATTGGTTTCAAGATGTTAATGAACAGAAGCAAAATCGACAGTGAAAAATGGCAGAGTCGAGAAGACAAAAAACAGAGTTGGATGAGAGGATTAATGAATCAACTTGCTGGCACGAACATGGATAATTAAAAGTCATGCATATTACGATTATAATAAAATATTGAATATGGTATTATTTCATTTATGAAAACAGAGAACTGTTATTTGATCATTTTGAAAATAAGGTTGTTTTTAGTTTTGAGTGGCAGGCCTTGAGAGAAGAAAATTTGTTTCTTAAGTATGTAAATAGCTTAAGAAGACTTCCCAAATTTTTTAGCCATCGGACCTTATCAATAGCCAGTCCATTCCTAATTAGGTGATGGAATGTGATATCACTATGAAAACAACATTCAATTGATATACTTATTACAAAAATCCAAAACACAAAAATCAAATTGGACAGAACAGAATCAATACTTAAACCGAATTCAAAAGTAATAATTTGAACATTAATGAATTAATTGGAAGGGATATGCTGGGTTTAATTTTAAAATAGCTGGAGACGGATGTCGGGTTCAGCATCTAGACAGTCTTGGTATTGTTTTGGTGGCTGTATAGAGAGAAAATCCGGGTTCGCGTACGTTGTGGCAAATAGATTCATTTTGTGTTTTCAACTAGCAGTTGAGATTTTAGTTTCCCAGATGGAGCAAAAAGTAAACTCAAAAGCATGTTTCAAAGTAGAGCCTGAAGTAATGCCTATCAAATGTATTCACTTGAAAATAGGTTGGCTTTGTCATCTACAAACTTCAAAGGCGTTCGTGCAAGCTTGTTTTTTTTTTGTTTTTTTTTCTTTTAAAAAATCTTTGACAGAAAAACATGCCTTAACTTACTCAACCCAAAACCAAAACGGGATTTTTCTTTTGAAGGTTCAAACTTTGTCATTCATCGAAAGTTGTGATTTTCATGAAGACATCTGATAAATACGACAGTATGACAGTATGCACTGGCATTCTTCATCATTGAAAACATTGGCCAATTTGACATTGTTTTCCATGAATAGAGATAAAATTTCAGAACGTAATTCCTGTAATCATGAAAGAGCTTTCCCATGAGACAGCCACCTCACTTCTGGACGGAGAAGCGGGGAATGATGAAGGCTTCCTATTGTTAAAATTATTGACTTCAATGGCTGCGACTCGATATAATTAATCATTTGAATAGACTCATGCAAAACTTTCTTAAAAGAAGCTCTGGAATTTGTTTCATAGCTAAAGCGTGTCTATGCAGAAAACAATGACTGCTACTGCAATCCTTTGATTTATCTTTTATTTTAGTAAGCACTCCGATTGTTCAGCCAGTAATTTTTTATTGTATTCATTCTACATTTATTTTTGTAATTATTAATTTTCCTCAAAGTTCACCCCCTAGTTTGGGTCAACGGACCACGGTTTGGGAACCCCCGGCTTAAACAATGTGAACGATATCCCCTGCATAGACCGCCTGCCCCCCACATGGAATGAAATATTTGGATAAGAAAGACTTGAAAAAAAAATTTTTTAAAGAAAATAATGAAATTTCTCATTGCATAAATATTATATTTATTAGGAAATAATTCAAATATGCAATATAACAATAATAGTATTAAAAAACACATAATATAGAATTAAATATATGAAATAAAATGGCAAGATATTTCAAATTTTGGTAACTCCTAACAAGATAAATACAATCTATACCTAATCTTCATAGACAAAAAATATTTTCTGTGTGAAAGTAAGGTGGTGTTTTAATTAATAATTACTCATTTATTTTAATGAACTGTTCCCCTAGTTTTTATTTTTTGTCAGCTTTCAGGCCAGCATACAGTCTTCTGTCATGTGGTTGATTTGAATCATTACTCATGAAGACTGAAGAGGGGCCCATGATGAAGCTATCAAAAAAAGAAAAGCTTATAGAACAGTTTCAGAAAAACAAAGGAGTAAAAATCTATTAGGTTTTCATTCGTTTTTTAAATAATTTTATTTAAAGTACCATAATTGCAATAACCATGAAATGTGATGATCAACATGCACATTTTACAATAAATCATGACTGACTAATAAAATTTTAAACAATAATTGGTCGTTAAAAACTATTTTCCCATTAAAAATAACACACCTTCAAATATCACATTTCCTCTTGTTTCACATATGAACTTGGGAGGAATTATATAGGATGAAGAATACAAAAACGGTTTGGAATTGCTTTTGTAGTAAAATAGTCTAATTAAAATTAAATAAATTGTTTACTAAAAAAACTAAAATTATTTGATAATTATAAAATTTGCAGAATAACAATAATAAATATATTTGTTAAGCTTTTAATAAAGTGTATTACTAATAAATTTAACAATTAATATAAAATCTAAAGAATATATAAATTATTTTCTCATAATTCTTACCTATTTGTTCTCACTCATTTTAAATAATCCATCTAGTACTAAATGCATGTTATTCTTGAGAACTATCTCTATTAATGTCTACCCCTTCTGAATTTTTTTTTAAACTGTATTCTTTATATATATAATTATATATGTACCATCAGATGCGAAGCCTCTTAATCTCTCTGAATTTAAGTACTAAAATTCATTTATATAAAATGGTAACGCATAAATGCATAGTATTTTGAAACTCTGGATTCTACCAATTGTTTAAAGTCAATAGTGACTAGTCGTGGTAATTTTGTAAATTTCGACAGCAAAATCGGTCGATTAACTATAAAATGTACTAAGCTCTTGAAACTTTTTAAATCAATTTATCGACCCCCCTCGAGTCAAATTAGGTTAGGTTTGGAAATAAGATCGGTATACTGATATTGGCCGAGTATCAGAGCGGACATCCATTGTATTTGTTCTTCCTTTGAAGAGCCAGCTATTGTATTACCGAAAAAAGGTCGGTCCTTTGACCTTTTTACTTCATCATTTTTATAAATAAATGTGATGGCCCATCTAGGAAAACAAATTTAATAGAATAATAAAATAACTTTCAACTTTGAATATCGAATTTACCTCATTTGTGGATTTCTTTTTGGTTCATGTCCAATGTACCAAGTTATATCTTCAATCCGCCATTCATTAATTTTTACTGAACACTGAAACAAACAAAAAATGTTTTGAATGAGATGAAAATTCACATTTATTATCAAATACTCACTGCTTTGTCTTTGTAATATTTCAATTTTGCTTTGCTAAACTCAAATGTAAACGTTTTAAACGATTTAGTTTTCTGGTCGGCAAATTTAAGATCGCCACATTTGGACATAGGAGTATGTGCCTTGAATAAAAATTGAATGGTCATTTAATTTTTAAAAAATCTTGCTTAGTATAACAAGTATAAACAAAATTACCAATGGCATAATTTCTCTATAAACACTATTAAGGGCTAAAAGAAAGTAATTTTCCCTGCAATCAGTTGCATCCCAATATGCCCATTTTAATGCTATGTCCAAAACTTTTTCTGAATGATGGATAGGCCTTGAAAGAGCACCTCCGAGTACCATCTCGTGAAGGCAAAGTTCATGCGATGCGTATTCCGTCCTTGGCGCAAGCATTGAACAAATCTGGCCTGCTTTTAAACCAGGACCAACCTTGAAAAAAAAGGAAATTAATACTTAACTATCACATTGTTGATTAAACTTACCACAACGGAGACACTTTCACCATGCTTTGATCTTAGAAAAATTGAAATCTTGAGGTCACCGGATGGCTTCGGTGGTGGTAAATTTGTTGAAGTTTTCTGGACCATCCTGAGCACGCTTAATATTCTCTGTTCCCTGTCAATCTCCTCACAATCGACCAAGAAAACAGCTTTGTAGTTTTCAATTAGATCTTTTATCACTTCACATTCCTTTTTCCTCCACTCAACTCCTCTTTTACCCTATATAAAGCATAAAATGCAATTTTTATTATTATTATTTGCAGTACAATAATTCTGTTAATTTATAACATAGAACTTATCGGGGTGTGCATAAGTTTTTTCATGTTTTTTTTGTTTTTCATTTAAAAAAAAGTCTAGAGCAGCAAGTCTCTAAGCAATCTATTGGGTTGTCCGGAAAATAATGCAGGATTTTGGTATTAACCAAAAAAAAAGAAACTAGTTACTTTAAAGCAATGTTCTTTAATCAAAATAATTTCCCATACTCTCAATACATTTCTCCCAACGTGTTGGTAACTTATTAATTNCATACAAATGAGTAATCCTGTAAACGTAAACAGAATATTTTATATAGATTTTTTTTAATGAAAACTTAAAATCCTGCATTATTTTCCGGACAACCCAATACAAGGCTGGTCTTCTATACATATCTCTCCGTTACAAAACTCATAACAAATGTTGGCTCACACTTTCATTCATTATACTATCACCAAAAAGGCCAAAATTTGATATGCATCCACCATTAATATGTCTGAGATTGAACTTGACATATAACTGGTGAACTGTGCCTCAAATTTTATCAGCTTCCATGTCGCTTCACAGTTTATTCTAAACTGACTTTTGGGATCAACAACCCCTTTCTTAACAATCTCTTCCTAGCTAGAAAGCTTTCTAGAGCTAATATACCACACCTTTATACATAAAAGTCGAAATTTGGAAAAACAAAAATACTTATGCACATGCCTAATAGATTACATGCATAACAACATAAAAATTAAAATTAGCTTAAATGCTTTAAAAGTATAATTACAACATCCAGATAGTAAAACATTTAATCTGTACAGAATATTAAGTTTAAAAAAAAAGTTACTCACATCTGACTCTTCACAGGGTAGACTAATTATAAAATATAAAATTAACATTTTTAAAAATTGTTCCAGGAAAGAAAAAGCAATTAGATTTGATAAATTTTATAAAACGAACCTCAATTCCCATTAGCGTCGGGGCCCAGATTGCAGCTAAATTTTCTGACGGCATTTTATTCAAATCGGCCTGTTCGGCAATAAAAGAAAAATGACCGAAAAGCCTTCTCGACGTCACATAATTTATTCTAGGCAATTTTTCCAATATCGTCCTGTACATGGCAATTTTTTCATTCTTACTACATTTTGAACCTAAAAAATAATCATGTAACATCAAGAAAACTTCAAACTGCTTTTTTTTTTCTTTTTTTTTAATTTTTGATGTAATAAAAAAATAAGTGCTTATGTTATTTGAAATTATGAATTTGAACTTCTTGAAATTTAATAGCCATATAAAAATAAACTAGAAAACTTCAAATTGCTCAAAGAATACAGTTACAATTGATCTTATAATCAAAAATTAGAATTATGCCAACTCTCAATATGCTTCAAGTATAAAATAAAATATAATTATATGTTTAAAATATAAAAAACTGTAATAATACATACTTCCAGCTTTGCAAAAATATTTGTGCAGCAGGCTTGTTAGAAGCGTGTCGGAAAGTTCATGAAAGAACCTCTTTAATACACTCGCTACATCATGTTCGGTATATTCTTGTCTGCTGAGTTGAACAGCCCAGGCATCAGCCCTCATTTCAGCAGTCAATCTGGTCACGTTACTATTTCCTCCACTTCTCCGGTAGATTCCCTCTGACATACTCCCTATAACAAAAACAAAAAAAATTAGTATTTAGAAATAAATTACAGAAAAAAATTAAATTCACCATGAGCGTAGACAAAACTTAAGCATTTATCTACGACGACCGGAACATCATCTTTTGTAAGCTGTTGTTCATAAAGGCTCGGTCCATTTTCCATTGCAGCCATTTTAATAGCCTGCCTCCAGGCTTTAGTTTCCCTTATGTTATCCATTTGGAGATAAAGAACTTTATCTACAGTGTGTACCTGAATATAAGCGCCTTGTTCGCTGACAAGCTTACAGCTCCCATCATCTGCTTGTAAAGCTAAAATCATCAAACAAGAATACGCTCAATTATTAATTGCTTGTTATTTTATCAATTAAATTAAATTTGTAAAGAATCGTGGTTTAAAAAAGGGTTAACAATTAAAACAGCATTTTTAACAAACAAGCCATTATTGTACATACTAAACTAGATAGTGTACGGATCAGTGGTTTGGTGGACATACAATACAGCTAAGGGCGATCAAAATCCTCAGTACTGCTCAGAGACTGGCATGTCTGAGCATCAATGAGGCAATGAGGACAACCCCTACATTTGTCCTGGAAGCCCTTCTGAATCAACCACCACTATACATCCTAATCCAGGGAGACGCCAGAGCCACAATTCAAAGATTCATATAGGGTAATGCAGGGACCAGGCTCAAACAGCCTACTCACATAACAAGGAGATAATAAAGCTTCGAGGGGAGCTTCAGCTAGACAGAACTCTATTTCTAATCAGAACACCTAGTACAGCAGACTGGGAGAAACGGACCTTAGTTAATGTTCCCAGTCAGTTGCAGTCCATATCTGGTCTACAGATGGCTCCAAAACCGAATATGGGTCAGGAGCTGGCATTTATGGAAATAAACCAAGGACTAGAATTCATATAAGTTTTGGACAATATGCCACCATCTTTCAAGCGGAAATTGTACCTATTGAGCACTATGGCAGGGAGATTGAAAGGCTGGGTGAATAGAAGTCTACTCAGGCAGCCAGGTGACACTACATCAACGGTGAAGCCTAAAGTCATTTGGGACTGCATCTGAGCCCTGTCAGACATTGGAGAAAATAACAAAATTACCTTGTCTGAATACAGGGTAGAGGGGCAACTAAGAGATTGACAAATTGGCCAATGAAAGTTCAATGACGACACTATTATCCCTGAAACCTTTTGTCGCATATCAACTGCCAAAAATGAGGATCCGTTAGACAATGGATTAAAAATAAGTCCTCCATTTGATAGGAATGTAGCTCAGGACAGAGACTTGTAAAAAAGTTCATCAAAGGATCACCACAAAAGTTGTGGCAGCACTTCTAAATCTAGGACGTGCCAGGACTAGAGTAATAGTTGGACTGTTGACTGGACACTGCAGACAGGAGGTATATATATAGACTCAGAGACTGAAACAAACCTGTGAGTTATTGCCAAGAAGGAAGAAACAGCGGAACATGTCCTCTGTTGGTGCATAGGCCTATGTAGGCCGATTCCTAATCTTGAGTGAGGAAAAGCCAGGGCCTGAAGGATACATACAGGAGCCCTTGAAAAAGCTTTGGGTTTGATAGCAAGCCTTAAGCTTAACAAGGAGCTCTAGATTTAAAAAAAAAAAATTGCAATGCACAATAGACCAATACAGGTCACGGTACGCAAGCCGTAAAGAGGCTGGCTCCTATAAATCTTATCTAATCTGTACATACTACACAATATGAGGATTGTTTTTGTTGAGTGATTATTTTTTCTATATATACATATGCATATGGATTATTATTATTAATTTTTTTTTTTTTTTTTTGAGAGAGAGAGAGAGAGAGAGAGAGAGTGAGAGGAAAGGGTAGCTTGAAAAAAAGGAACAGGGGCGATAGTGGTAATGGAATCCATGACTGCGGGGCCTATAAGAATCTATCTCACTAACCATTCAGTCCCCTTCGGAATACTCATCGCTTAATCCTTAGAGTAGAATTAAATAAAATTACTTTACCAAACAATAACAATAGTAAATGTGATTAACAAATTAACAAACTCAGCAGCTTCAAATGTAAAAGTTCATCTCTTTCATTAAAATATCTTTCTCATTGAGATCATTTCTATTTTTAGTTAGTACTGTATGACAATTTTTTTATTTTTTTATTTACCAACAAGCCGTGTTTTTCTTAAATCTACTTCTTTCATTCTTTCTTTCATTTGGCAATAATACAAAACTCGTTTTGCAAGGAGGATCCAAGCACCTGTCCAGTCATCCGTTATTCCCTCCTGGAAAATTTTGAAAATTAAGTTACACTCTAGGTGTGAAATGATTAACAGTTCACCTTAAGAAAGCATTGTCCTGCTCGGCAAAATTCTGCTGATAGTTTTAAAGGAAAAACGTTGGTCAGGCTCTCTAAAAGCTTCCTCATCCACATTTTTGAATCGGCAGATGATGAAGCCCCAAAGACGTACGGCTTCGTCTTCCCGCTGACACTCACTTCCCAACAATGCACTGCATTGTCATCATTAGAGCTGGAACATTTAAAACCATTAAAAATTAAAACTACTAAACCTAATTTAATTTGTTTAAATAATTACCAAATCTTGGGATCGAGTAAATTATGTATGCTGAGAATGTTCTCTAAAGGAATAACTTCTTTACTTGATGATGTTTTATCCTGTGCCAAAGTCAGTTTTCCTTCACCAAGTTGGCACCACTTTTGGCTGAAATCTTTCGGCTTATCGCCATTTGATAATGAGCGAAGGATGAAACCGTGATGTGGTGACTGAGATAACATGAGTTTCTGGCTGACTTCCTTTGCTCTGGAATTTTTCCTGGAAAGCCCAGGTGTCCAGGGTGCTGAATCTGGGACCATTTTGTTTAAAACCTTTTTTACATTAGTCCATTGAACCAAATTGCTCAGTTTGCTTCCTTCTTTTTGACATGAAGCACCTTTGGGCACTTCATCGACAACTAAAAAATTACTTTCTCCTGCCACCCTGTGGTAAAGAAAATATTCGACATCATTCGGAACCGACTGGTCTTCAATTTCTTTCAAAGAGTCCACTCTTTGTGGTGGCGTCGGAATGTTATATATGTCTACATCTGGATCAAGTTCGGCTTCTTCTTTCACTTTATGTTCTTCTTTCATTTCCCTTTCAGCCTGGGCTTTTTGCTTTTTTCTCTCTTCAAACAATGGATCAAATTCATAAATAACGTTCTTATCCATAACAGACGTTTTTGGGTTCATTTCATCTGAATCAACACTGCTGCCTCCCGACAGGACGCAAGGGACAGTCACGAGACAATTTTCATATTCGTGAGGTCTTAGTTTCATCGAGACAGCCCCATCAACTTCATCTGGCAAAATTGTCACTGTGGCCTTAGATTTATGAACCACACCATGCGAATTCGGCTCGTCTGAGTATATATTTTCAGATTTTAAAGTGTAACTGTCATCGATTGCAACGTTTTCATACAGTGGGCCTGGAACTTTAAACAGATTCGACCCGTGAGCAGATTCATAAAAATTCCACGAATTCGATCTTGTAGTCTTTTCAAGTCCGAGCTCTTGGAGGGAGACGGCACCACAACTCGATGAGACTTCTGAGATGTCTTCGTTTGAAGATTTTTTGAACGCGGGAACTTCTTCGTAATAAGGCCTCTCTGGGACTGTAGTAGGCGATGTACAAACACTCGAACGGGCCGATTGAATATGATCATAAAAGGACTCATCTGGTAAAGGCGGAGGTGGGTAAGAAGGAGGGGGTACGGATGTAATGTCATTCTCCTCGTATAAATCTTCCGAAGCCAAAGGCGATCCAAATTTAATAGATTGAAACAGATCATCTGGAGGAAGGGACTGGGAACGTTTATCCTCTTGCAAATTCTCTTTTTCGCTTTCCTTTGTCCCTAGTACATCCGAAGCGGACTGTCTCTTAGGCAGGATATTCCTGACGGAGTTTCTCGTTGACTCGAAAACAGCGTTGCTCTTTTCCTGTACGTTGCTCCTCACCCTCTTCAAGCTTTTTTTCAAGCTGCTCGTGTTGTTGAAGGATTTGGAGTGTTGCAGTTTGGTCTCGACGCTCTCTTTCCTTTCTGGGACTCGGGGCGTGGCGAGAGAGACTCTGGGTAGAGGCACCGGAGTCCTGGCCGCCCTCGGACGCGGCTGCGGGATCTGCGCACCGCCTTCGGCCATCCTTCTCGCGGGACGATTTCAGAGGCGAACTACGCACCCGGGCTCGGGAGAAATCAAAGGAACACCAAAACGACCAACGCCCCGACTACGACACACTTCAAAGCCCTCTTCGCCAAAGTACCTTTCATCGAGAATCTCTTCCTAACCATTTTGAGTCACTGACTTTCTAATCCGACGAACGTTCCTAAGAAGAGAATTACCCTGAAAACTGTTTGCAATGATAAAGTAAAAGGGAAAAGTCTCAGAGATAAAACAACGAGACTTACTCGATACGGTATTCCTGACAATGGTAACGACTCTTCGTATATGGGAATGAGTCACGAATAATGTAAACGAACCACGCTGAGCAAGTCTACTGATACAATAAGAATGTCATTAATAATAATGGTGTCAAACTGTCAACTCAACAAATAAACTAACACGGTATCGATAGGAGAACTTTGCGTATGCGTACAATCGATACAAAAACGGAAAAAATTATTGCATGACCTGCAGTCTTGAGAATTGTTTAAAAAAAAGAAAAAGAAGAATAAACATAAAGGTAATTGCATAAGTCTAGATTGCATAAACATGGGTGTGTGCGTGCATGAGAAAAAAAAACTTTTAAAAGGCGGCGTTTAAATCACCTAGAGTGCAAGTTGTGTACAAGATAGATATACTTTTTTTTACAATAGAAAAATTTCTACTTCAAAGAAATCTTTTATTTATTTTAATTTCAGTCTCAGACATACAGACATTTGGCCTTTATTACATACAATAATATACAATAGTAATAATAATAATATACATTTGTAAAGACAATAAAACAAGTTTATCCTGTCATTGCATACAATAAAATGCAGTAGTAACATTGGTAATAATTAACATTTATAATAAAGAAAATAAAACATATTTATCCGGGCATTACATCCGATATAATCTACCAGTAATAATAACAATATACGTTTTTAGATATTGTAATGAAAATAAGACAAATTTATCCTGTCATTGCATACAATAAAATGCAGTAGTAACATTGGTAATAATTAACATTTATAGATACTAAGAAAATAAAACAAATTTACCCTGGCATTACATCTGATATAGCCCACCAGTAATAATAACAAAATACTGTTGAGTGTAATATCGGCCTTCATGATGAATATTGAAATAAAGAGATCATGGATGAATCCATGTAGGTGAAAAAAAACACCTTTTTCTGCTTTCGAGCTTTCAGCTGTATTTAACGTCTTCTTCAGGACATTGAAAAAATTATTTTAAAAACTTGAAAATCAATTCGGGCATGTGGTCTGGATACATGGTCCAAATACACCTAGGCCCCCTTCTATTTGGACCACATGTCCGAATTGATTTTCAAGTTTTTTAAATAATTTTTTCAATGTCCTGAAGAAGACATTAAAAACAGCAGAAAGCTCAATAGCAGAAAAAGAAGTGTTTTTTTGTTTTTTGTTTTTTCACCTACATGGGCTTCTTCCCTAATCTCTTTATTTCAATAATGATGTTCTTATATTTTAAATTATTATTAAATTATTACTTTATTTCAATAACAATATACGTTTTTAGATATTTTAATGAAATTAAGACTAATTTATCCAGACATTACATACAACATAACACACCATTAATAGTAATAATAATGTACATTTATAGATATTGTAAAGAAAATAAAACAAACTCATTATGGCAACATACAATACAATAGTAATCATATTAATAAACATTTGTAGATATGACAAAACAAATAAAATGATTTAATCTTTACAAGTTAATAACATTTTTTTGGGTTTGGGGTGGGTGCTGGGCTATGGGGTCAGGTGCCATAAGCGGCTTGAGCGTATTTTGCCCCAGATTCCGTGGGGATGTGGTCTTTTCCATGGTGTTGCAAATCATTTTTATCCACATCCCTGAAAATGGAACTTGTATGTAGGCTCTAAAAAGAAAAAAATACATATATAAATTTGAGTGGATCTAAGTCTCGATAGCTCAAATATGTAGAGCACCAGCATATTGAGCAAAGGTCATGGGTTCGAATCCCGCTCATGACACTAACTTTTTCAATTCAACAAAGACCTTACATACAAAGAATAATTAATTGAAATAATTAATATGGTCAATTAGACTACTAAACATAAATGGATTGATAATTAAATTGATAGACCAAGTTGTGTACAATAATTTACAAATGTGTAAAAACAATTGAATTTTCTCAATTTTAAATACTCAACTTCATCAATTTTAACTTGTTTTTCCAATTGTTATCGTTGTGTAAAAAATCAATATGTTGTGTCTGTGTCTTAAAAAGTAAACAACCTGGAACTACGAAGTACTTAACCCTACAGGCAAGCCCTCCTGTAAGACAGGTTTTATAAATAAAAGTTAATGCACAATATAACTGAAGCTGCACATTATAACTAGGCTTTAAAATACATTAAATTTATCTATTGAGTGGACACAACACACACACAACTTCTCTTTTGCATTAAATGAGACTTGTAGTTTATGAAGAAAAACTTTTTTTAAATAGGACAAAAATAATACAAATAAATAATAATATACATAATACTTTAAACAAAACCAGGATGATAGGTAATTCTCAAACTATATATTTAACACTTCACAGACCCAGGAGAAAATCTTACGTTATATAAATTATTATCTCAACCATGCTAAACCAATCGATTACCTCAGCAAGAGTGAGATATTGAGAGAGTTTGCTAGCCATTTAATTCTGAATTATTATATTGTACATAATCCTAACTATAGCTAATAATATAAACTATTTCAATTAATTTATACTTTTCTAAGGTCTTAGAAGTTCTGTCACAAGCAGGATTCGAACCCATGACATTTGGCTCAATACTCCACTGCTCTAACCACTAGCTTTTTTTTAAACCTAGATTGATTTTTTCTCTACTACATATTCATTTTAAAAGGAAATAAAACGGAAAAATCCTATAATTTAAAATCCTCATTATTTTTACAAACCCATTGTTCTTAATATTTCTCAGGGTGATTGGGGATATTCCCTTACATTCACGCTAATAAATTACATTCACACATCAACTTTGTTCACACTACCCAGACTTCACAAAGTACCCAGGGTAATTTATTTATTTATTTACAGAGATAATACTTGCACAAAATATACAAGTGTATTACAAGTAAATATATGTAAAAGAGCTCATTATGCGAACAGTATTTATACAGTAATATAATAATCATTTAAATGTTTACTATTTCTTAGGGTGACTGGAGATATTCCCCTCCATTCACGCTAATAAATTACATTCACACAGCAGACTTTGTTCAATCTACCCTAGAGTACTCTCTTTGGGGTAAAATCTCATCTTAACCTCATAGTCTTATTTATTATTTTTTCTTATTTTTAATTTGCTCAATTTATTGCTTACAAAAACATAATAGTTGGATGCTAGTTATCAAATTCAATGTCAAACAATGAACATTTATACTTTTGAGATTTAAGAAACAAGTAGGGTGTGCCAATATTTTTTTGGCCCACTGTATACATATATTTATGCAAATGCTATATAAATATAGCATATCCAGAAACATATCCTTCACAAGGCAATTGTTTTTTATGTCTTAACCATACTTTAAAAAAATGTAACTAAATACTTGAGATTCTACTATTGAAAATTAAGTAATGAAAATTTTTATGTATGCTGCTATTTGAATCAAAACGCTGTATACAGCAAGTCCTACAATTAGCAATTAATATGCTGCTGATTTACAAAGAGTATTTTGTCCAAAGCCCATTTATATGAAGGTTGATTGAAAAATAGAACGGGAAATGGATTTCAAAAATCTACCATGTCCCGGGAATAAGGGGTGGGTGTGGAGTAAAAACTCGTGAGCGCATGCGCCCCGGGCCGGTTGTGGAATGCGAGCAGAGCCGGAGCTTATAGGAGTAACCTGCTGCCTGATTGGCTGCCTTATTAAATCAGTCGGCAGAGTCCCCAAGCGTTGAAACGTTGTCTCCTGTCATGTTTCAAACCCCGAAATCCATTTAGACATAGCCACCCCTTTCGAGTATGCGAATGTTCGCAGTTTTCGGACGGATTTGACTCTTCTGCGCGCTCAACGGCTTAACGATTCCCTTATACGGTTTTTTTTTTAAATGTAGGATTTTTATATGCGGGCTTGTGCTAAGATGGCGGATTCGAGCTACTACCAGGTTAGTTTTAACATGTACTTGTTTATTTTTATGTTTGTTTTTTTGAATAATTGTTAAATATGAATGGACGCCCTATTATATTGCACATCCTACAGATCAGCGTCCCGTCGAAACTTTCCATGATGTTCTTTCCTGTCCTAAAACGCTTTTATTTATTCCGTCTCGTCAAAGTCTATCATATTTCTTTTGGAAGTCATTCCTTATAAACAAGCGGAACGCGCCTTTATGCGGCAGCGTCCCACCGTTGATGTCAGTCTGGTAAATTCTACATATGGTGCTTATTTTGTTGATCTATTAAGAAAAACTGGAAGGTTGTTCTTGTTTGAACGTGCGGTCTCGTCGTTTGTGTACTTTGTATTGGGTGTTTTTTGTTTTGACCTTTTGACTGAATTTTTTCCAATCTCGAGTTTCGAAAATAATCCCTTTAAACGAGAAAAGAGAAAAGCATTTCGAAAATATTTGTGTACGATGTTCGCCGTCTGATAAAAATTCCCGATGACTCGTCCAACTGTCGACCCTCCTTCCACTTTTGACCTCCAGACCGGCACCGTTCGAGAGCCGCGGCTCTGAAATTGCGAACGGATTTAACTTTTGGATCGAGGCTTTTTTTCCTGTTGTCTTTGGAAATCGAACCGATTTTCGAGCGTTCACCATAAAAGGCGTTCCACGATTCGGCTCGTTTCGGTCAAATTGTAATACGAGTGGAAAAGTCCAAAAATGCTTAATTGAAAGTGTAATAATGGATTGATTCCCAAAATAGAAAAAAACATACATCAAGAAATATATCTTTTAATCTTGATTATTGGGAAAACGTATAAAGCAAGCCAAATTATTTTTTTCCCTTATTGTTTTGTTTACATTTCACTTAAGTGACACTCCCAGTTGCGATAACGTTTGTTTTTCGTATTAGGTAAACAATTATCATTTCGAGTTTTCTATAAACCGAGAATGTTAATTAAATGTCTTTGTTGATGGATCCGTTTGTTCTGACTTCTGACTACAGAAGGGGAAAAAAGCTCCGAGCAACGGATAAGGTTCTAAAACGAGCCACGAAGAAAGGAAAATAAGCCATCTTCGCGTTGGTAATGGTTAAGGTTCATCAAACTTATTTTCTCTCAGGTCTCCCCTTGTTGTTAAGATCCAAAGGTTGTTGACAGAGCCCGCTTTAAGTAAACAAAATAAAGTAGCTCTTGTGCTTTTTCCTTAATAAACGGATAAATGGCGTTCTCTCTTTACATAAACCGAATCTTATTTTTCCGTTCTAAAAGTAACACAATGAAACACGCACTTCAAGTAGAAAACGAGAAGCATTTTCTTGAATTTTATGGTCGAAAAGCTGTCACTTGCATCTACAATAAAACTTAATCCTGAACCGCGATATTTCAGATTTTTTCCTCGAAATTGAACCTTAATAAACTGTATCTTTTAACATTATAACCACACCAAATACATTTCCATTTAAAATTTTCTCAATTGTCCAATTTTTAATATTTTTGACTACATACACAACGCATTTGAAAAATAGGAAACATACAGAAAATGAGGAAAATCTAGCTCCTAACAAATCGTTTCGTACTTCTTGGTTCCTCTTTCATTATATCAAAGTTTGTTTTTCCATTCTAAAAGTAACACGAGGAAAAACCGATTTTAAATATAAATGAGAGACTTTTTTTAAATTCAACCATATTTGTTGATCTGATGAGGTTGACAAGCTGTCTTTTACATATACAATAAAACAATCTAAAAATAAAACAATCTACAACTACAATATTCCAGTTTTTCCTCGAAATGGAACCTTAATAAACTGTTTCTTTTAACATTAGAATCACACCAAACACATTTTCATTCAAAATTGTCTGAATTGTTAAATTTTTCATATTTTTTACCCTCTACACAACGCATTTGAAAAATAGGAAACGTATCAGAAAATGAAGAAAGTCTACCCTAACAAAGTCTAGTCCTAACAAATCGTTTCGTAGTTCTTGGTTCCTTCTTTCATTATACCAAAGTTTGTTTTTCCATTCTAAAAGTAACACGAGGAAAAACCTATTTTAAATAGAAATAGACTTTTTTTAAATTGGACCATATTTGTTGTTCTGATGAAGTTGACAAGCTGTTTGTTACATCTACAATAAAACAATCTAAAAATAAAACAATCTAGAACTGCAATATTCCAGTTTTTTCCTCGAAATGGAACCTTAATAAACTGTATCTTTTAACATTAGAATCACACCAAACACATTTTCATTCAAAATTGTCTGAATTGTCCCATTTTTCATATTTTTTACCCCCTACACAACGCATTTGAAAAATAGGAAACGTATCAGAAAATGAGGAAAATGTACGTCTAACGCTGAACAAATCGTTGCGTAGTTCCTGTCGTTCTTTCACTATGCCAAAGTTTGTTTTTCCATTCTAAAAGTAACACAAGGAAAAACGTATTTTAAATAGAAAGAAGAGACTTTTTTCAATTCAACAATATTTGTTGTTCTCATGATGGTTGACAAGCTGTCATTTACATCTACAATAAAAGATCCAGAATTAAATCTTAATCTATAACCGTAATATTCCTGGTTTTTTCCTTCCAAAATTGAACCTTGTTGCAATGAACGCTTTGAATTTTAATATTTGTCAACCCGAAACTCACAAAACGCATTACTCTAGACAAGGGAGACTTTTTTTTCGACTTTTACCAGATTTGGTGTTCTGATCATGGTGGACAAGCTATTTACATCTACAATAAAACTTAAAGAAGAACTTAAATATTTCAAATTTTTAATTACGAAATTGAAACTTCTAATAAACGCCTAGAGTTTTTTTAAACATTACAATCACACCAAACACATCTCACCTCAAAAATGCCCGTATTGTCCAATTTCTTTTATACTCTTGACCTCATACAAAACGCAATTGAAAAATATTAAACATATTATGAGGGAAATTGATTGTAAATAGAATCCATTGCCTGTGGCTGCGGGATTTTATGATTTCATAAAATATTTTGAGCCATGGAGTTGTAGTGGATTTTAAATAATCAAGGGAGAAATTTGCTTGGATTCAAGCATATTTGTTGTTCTGATGATAGTGGACAAGCAGTAACTTTTATCTACAATAACATTTAATTCAGAACCACAATATTCCAGGGTTTTTTCTTCCAAAATTGAACCTTATGGAGAGAATGCCTTGATTTTTAATATTACATATATGTTTATTCTAAATTGCCTATATTGTACATTTTTTAATCACATACCCAACACGTTTGAAAAACAGGAAACGTCAGATAATGACGTAGCATATATCTTGTGCTGGACAAATTGCCTGTGGCTAAGGGCTTTCAGATTTTATTAAATGTTTAAATCATTAAGTTGCAATGATACAACAAAAAGTAGTTCTTGGTTATTTCTGTATATCAAAGCCTATGTTGGACAATAATGCATCTACAATAATCCAGAACCTTTGTAATAATCGCCTGGAAGTTTTGAACATTAGGACCACACCAAACAATTTTCTATTCAAAATGGTCTTTGTTGTCCTTTTTTTACATTTTCGACTATATACACGAGACATTAGAAAAACAGAAAACATATTATGAGGGGGAAATAGATTTCCAATAGAATCCTAGTCTGGGGCTGAAGGATTTTATGAAATATTTTGAGTAATGGAGTTTCAGTGATCCAGTTGAAATAATGCTTGTTCTTTCTTTATGCCAAAGCCTAGTTTTCCATTCTAAAAGTAACCTGAGGAAAATTATATTTTAAATAGAAAAGCGTCTTTTTTTAATTAAATTATATTTGTTGTTCTGTTGATGGTTGACAGCTGTTGCTTGCAGCATCTACATCAACACAACCCAGAATATTCCAGGTTTTTCCTTTCAAAATTGCACCTTGTAATAAACCCCAGGGATTTTTTAACATTAACTTTTTAAACGTTTATCTGTTGGACATTCACACCAAACACATTTCATCTCAAAATCGCCTGTATTGTTCATTTTTTTAAAAAAATATTTTCGACTTCATACACAACGCATTTGAAGAAAAGGAAACCTCAGATAATAAGGAAAAGATAATCCAGTGCCGGCCAAATTATTGGCTGAGGGATTTTTCAGTTTCCCGAATTGTTTCGTGGAGTTGCAGTGATCCAACAAAATAAAATTCAAATAGATAGGAGAGAGGTTTTTGAATTTAACCATATTTGTTCCAGGTTTTTGCTTCTTAACTTGATCCTTTGTGTAATGAACGCTTTAAGTTTTAACTTTAATTAACCAATAAGCACACAAACCAATTTCCCCTGAAAATTGTTCATATTGTCCAATTCTTAGTATATTTTTGACCACATGCACAACGCATTTAAACAAGAGGAAACATCACATAAAGAGGAAAATGTGCATGTAGTGCCAGATAAATCATTGAGGGTGACTCAGAGTTTTTCCGATTTTATGAATCGTTTTAATGATCGAATTATAGTTCTCCTACAAAAAAGTCCTTGTTTGTTTCTTTAACCATGCCTATTTTTCCATTTAAAACATACACAACGAAGAACATATTTTAAAAAGACAGGAGAGACGTTTTCTTGAATTTAACCGTATTTGTTGTTCTGATGGTGGAAAAGCTGTCACTTGCATCTACACTTAGCCCAGAACCACAACACTGCACTTTTTTTTGCTTCCCATCTCCAACCTTGTTGTAATAAACGCCTTGAATTTTCATATTTGCCAACGAAGAACCGCAACAAACACATTTCCTCTTAAAATTGCTGTATTGTCCATTTTTACACTTTTCACCACATACATAATGTGTACGCATTTGAAAAACAGGAAGCGTAATATTATGAGGGAAAAATAGATTTTCAATAGAATCCACTGCCTGTGGCTGTGGGGTTTTCCAATTTTATGGATGGTTTTGAGTCATAGAGTTGCAGGGATCAGACTTTCACATTTTGTCCGATAGTCCTTTCTAACAATTAAATTTTGTCGAAATTGTTGGCAGTTGAGTTCCGTACAG